ACTATTGGTGTTTCTGCCGAGGAATTAGCATGTGCTAGGAAGTGGTTGCAAGAGGAAAAGAATTTTAAAGAGGTGACACCATTTACAAAAATAACACCCTCACCGATGTTCACGACCACATCGACGAAGGCTACCGATTCTTCCGAGGAAAAGCCAAGACCCGAAGAGATACATGACAAATATACGAAAGACGCCATCAATCATCGACAATCACTACGCGATAAAAATAATATCGATAAGGGTCTTGAAATTCGACCACGTGCTGTTGTTCCCTTCTATGCCGATAAAACGGACTTTGTTGTCTCCCAAACGACTAACGCGTCAAACGAAGTGACTCATCATCAGTCTCTACGACCTAGTATCGACTCAAGGAACAAATTGGATAACACGGAAGTTGGCAACGTTGAAGTCGGTCGCGTTGGCAGGTTGGCTGCGGCTCTTCAACAACGAGTGGAATCCTCGAGCAAGTGTACTTCTTCCAATCGATTTATTGCAAAAAAATCGAAGATCAAACGAGCCAATACCATTGACATTCCAAGTTACCTCAAATTACAAGCTGATAGTCTCAAGCAAGAGGGTAGCGGTTGTGTATCTCTAAAAAAACCTATAAATGTCAGCGACAAGGCAAATTGTAGCTCAATTAAAAACATGATCGTACCATCCTTCCAACCGAAAACTGAAAATGATAGAAAATTCATGGCATTAATTAATAAGAATAACGATACTCCTATATTCAACGCACCAACATCGTTCAAATCATTTGGTTACACAAAAACAATGGATCCATCAACGGTAAGCAACGAAAATTGGAACAGTCGTTTCTCAAACATTAAGACAGCCTTTGACAAGACGACGACTTCCGGTGATGATTCTGAACAACAAGTTAACAAGAACAAGCTTCCGAAACGACCACCGATAGTTCCTCAAGTGACTCAACGATATAATCCTGGAAAGGAAAAGCCCTTCAACCCGAATGTCTTCTGTAACTTTGAACATGATACACCTAACGCTGGTCAATCGATCTCTCCTGGTTTTAGACATGCTCCCTCCTCTCCTTTTCGAAGGATCGAAAAGCCAACTATTGTATCGAACTTCGTTAAACCTTTACCGATTCCTACCAATCCTGCTAAAAGCAATATACCTATGCCTGGTAATACATTACGTGAGAAAGCAAGAAAGATGTTTGATCGTGGCGACAACAGTAACAACGTTCAACAACGAGCTTTAGAATACAAAGTTCAAGTCGATGGAAACTCAGAGAGACGTACCTTTCCACGACCACCTTGGATTGAACATGAGAAATCATCGAGTGTAACGATCGCAGAAAATGGACGTCTAGATTACCGTTCGTTCTGTAAGCAATTTGCACCGTTCGTTAGCAAAGGTACATCCTCGTCATCCTTGGAAAAAACACCCTACGAGTTCAACAATACTCCTCAGCAAAATTCCAAAGTATATCAACCTAGAAATGAATTGATTAGTGAACAAAATCATCCGAACGTGGTAGATGGAAAAATTTCGTTCCAGATGATACCGAAAGATTACAATCATTATAACATTCAGGGAACTCGTGATTCTCGTGATTTTACTAGTGAAACTGAAACCACAGGTGGATCTCAACAAGCTGACGTTACTCTACGTGGCAGTGCATCAGTAGCTGTTCAAACTGGTGTTCAGGATGAAATAACCAACGATGAAGCTAGATCCTTTCGTGTTACTCCAAAAATTTCGAACGGGCCACCTTTGATTTGTAGCAATGTCTCGATACAAACGTCAAGTGATGTGCCTTCTACAATTTCAGAAGACGTTCAAAATTTTCTTTCGGATAATCAGAAAAATCACAACGAAGAGAAAAGTCGTGAAGAATATCGTTCGCGAAATGAATCGGATAGTGTTTTGCCGATAAAAGAAAATGTTCGCGAAGCTGTGCCTTTTCACGATTATTGTTCCAAAACGATCGTACAAAATCCACAGATGCAAAATCAGATAGCTTTAGTGACAATTTACGATGAGCCAGTACCGAAAACTGAACAAAACGAATACGAATCAGCTAAAGTGAACTATGCGGAAGATGATCGATCTCAATCTAAAGATTACGACTATTTGGATGCTAAAAATATTCAAAATCAAGATATAAGCGAAGAGGAAGGGGTCGTAACGAGATATACCTGTGCTATAGCCACAGTAGCAAATGTTGAAAATCCAAATATTCAAGAGGAAATTGTCGAGCCATCGTACTTCAAGGAATACTCGACTCCATCTGTGTCACCTGTCTCAAGATCGAAAACAAATAACGATGAAGAAGTTGATGAGGAGATACGTAGACACAATATGTTGCAACAAAGTTTGATACAGCGTCTCCATCATGAACGTTGTACGATGATCGATCGTCCATTCAAGCGATCACCGATCGATTATCAAAATGAAACACATGAGAATAGCAAGAAGGAACAACAAACCTTTGAACAAGGGTACTACGTTCCTCCACGAAGTAACGAATATATACCGATAAAGAATGTAAACAAAGTCGAATCGATCTCACCCTCTTCTTTACTCAATCAATCGAAGCGCATCGTTAATCTTCCTCAAGCGAAGAAATTTCTTTCACCGGTTTTACCGACGAAACAAACTCAAATCGCACCATCTACGTCGCGCGTAGTCAATCAAGTTTCAGCTCTGAGAGGAGTTTACGAACAACCAGTCGTTATTTCAAACAAACCTATACACAAGGAACGATCACCGATATCAAATGGAACAAATCCAATTGATTCCAGCGATGAATATTTAATGTCTTGCGCCAATCAACCGTCTAGATCGATCGTTCTCTCAAAATCTGAATCTTGGCATCAGTTGGCTCTCTCTAACAGTTCTTCTCGTATTCCTCGTACAAATGACTCCAGCCCTTCGACGTTGTCGAGAGCTTCTTATTTACCAAAACCCCCAAAACCAAGATCACCGTCAGCCATGAAATTTCGAACGAAACAATACGAAGCATCTTCAGATAGTGTTAAAAAGATGGAGGACAAGATAAGAAGATATTTTGACAGTCCCAATGAAAGTTCAACGAACGAAACTAAAGAATCGAAGAAACGTTCCTCTCCTCGTCATATTCAAGGAAAGTGCATGATCGGACTATCGAGAAGTCGTACCTTGCCTGGTATCTGCGAACAGAAACTCGTCTTAACGATACCACCAACACAAGTACCTCTCCTACAAGTTAACAGTGCTGACGTCGACAAGGTCTTCGACGACATCTTCCAGGAAGCCACGAGGATGGACGGTCAGCATTGCTGACCGATCAACTTTATCTCTCTCTCTACTTCTTCTTCTTTTTCTTCTTCTTGCATCGACCACTTGTAATGGTAGCGATAGCTGCTGCGAATACGCAAGAAATTGAGTTACGATAAAAAATTCATCGCACACGGATCCATTGATTGAACGCAAGATGCAATGTGATTTTTATATTTGTGTATTATTCTTTTATTGTTATACTTGTTCTTGTTATTGTTATTGTTATTATTATTATTATTATTATTATTATTGAAAATATCGTCCATGATGATACCTACATAAATACTTAGTATCACGTAAAACGACGATCATATTAATAAACCAAAGACTGTGTTAATAACGTCAAGTGAGAAATAATCAAAATCGAATAATCATATTTATCGTTGGTTCGCACAATAAAAATAAATATAATAAGGGATGTTGGAGATAGTTGAAGATGTTAAATCAATTAGACAACTAGAGAAATACATCCCAAGATGAATTAAATGACGTTACAATAACCATCATGAATAATTTATTTTAATATCAAATTAATCTATATCAGCATGTAGTAAATCTGAAATAGAAGAAAAATGATCGATTATCGGCATACATCATCGGTCTCAACAGGTACAAATTTGAAATGATAAAAGAAAGACAAAAAAAATATTTCGAGAAGACTCGTAGAAGAAAAGTAACTTTGGATACCTCTCAGTACTCTGTTGCAACCTCAAAGAGATTTCACCAAGAAACGTAAGGCAGAGCTTGAAGAAGACGATGCTGTTCAGCTCGTATTATTTGGCTAGAAGGCACCGACTTTTGGCAGTCCTTTCACAAAAGCTAAGACGTACATATGTGTCTCCCTTTCTCTTTCTCTTTCTCTCTAGCGCATTTAGCAGCGCGTATGATTCTACTTTGTCTTTTGGACGTAGCCACACGTTCTAAGGACGGACATTGAAAATGAGAAGGAGAAAGAGAGAAAAAGATAGAGAAACGCTAGAAGGTCGTACAGATCCCCGAATAAAGCAGTGAGTCACAAAGCATCTTTCTGTAGCTCCTTTTGTTGCGCCAAATAGTGTTCTAGTTTTCTCCACACTGCTCTTTTGCACTGTGTGCGACTTTTGCCGTAGATTATATTCGTAGCTGTGTGGTGTCATTTATATACGCGGTTGTACAGTTAACATCATCACTACGACCACATCAACCCAACTCGCGTTACTTATGCCAGGATCTTCCTGATCATAGAAACATCCGTCGTCGTTGCCAATTGCCTCGAAATTATAGATTTCTGTTGCTGCAAATAAACACAAATTACACACTTCACAGTTTTAACATGCATCTATATAAATAAGACAGAGTTTACAATGAATCCTCTTTAACAACAACGACGATGCAATTGAAGAAACAATACACTACCACACGAAAGATGATTGAAGAAAGCTTGGAGTGAATTTCCTGAAGATCTTGAAAAACCTTTAGCCTCTCTATATCTCTTTATGCCTGGAAAAGCAAGCAAAACCGATGTTAAATTGGCCGATATTTGAACTAACTTACAGCTTTAATAGCGATATAACGTTATAGTCAAAGAACATTACAAAATCCATTCCAGTTAACTATATAATTATACTTTGAAAGGAATCTCTACTTATTATTTTGAATTAAAAGATTGATACTGACGATTTTTGAATACTTACAAACTAAAGATTTACTACTCTTGCAAGTGTGAGTAACATAGTAGTAAAGAATTCACCGATAACGGCACATTTCTTTTTTCAGCCCCCAAGAAACCATTATCGCCATTTGCCAAATTTCGTCAACTAGATCGGCAATATAGTTCTTCTTTGCCATCAAGGTAATTATCATTATTCTTGGTCAACTCAACGAAAGAATTCTTCGAAAATTGAAGAAAAATCTCTTCTCTCATTGTCTTTTCTTCTACTATTATATCCTAAACTCCACTCTCTGTTGTGTCTTCTAATGTTTTGTCTGTCCTTTCCGATCACCGATCCAGTCCCATAAAGTCGCCAGAAAAGGAGTTTCGTTTTAGATTTACCGAACCTACTGTGACAAATAACGCGGTACAAATAAAGGAACGATTGTTAGCTTGGTGCCGTTCCAAAACCAAGGAATATGAGGTAAACACTTAATACTCAGGTTTTACGTATGTACCGATAATTATAACAATGGACTAAATCAAACAATTTGTTTAATTTATTTTATGATTTATTTTAGAAAATAATTACTTTTATTATAACAAATCATGAAATTAATTTATTTGTTATTTTTCTATTTAGTCCTCTGTCTTAATTATTAGTACATATATTCTTTCTCATTTTCAATACCATCGTTAAAATTGATATATTAACATAATTGATTTGCAGAATATACAACTTGATAATTTCTCGACCAGTTGGAACAATGGTTTGGCATTTTGTGCTCTGATTCATCATTTTAGACCTGACGCCTTCGATTATTATTCATTACGTCCGCAAGATCGCAGGAAGAATTTTGATCTGGCATTCAAAACAGCTGAGTGAGACTTCCTTTTACCTTCATTATCTTCTTAAAAATAATCAAAAATATATAATGTTATTTGTTCATTGTTTTTTTTTTTTATAGTGAAGCTGGTATCGCACCGTTGCTCGATGTTGAAGACATGGTGGCTATGCGACGTCCGGATTGGAAATGCGTCTTCACTTACGTTCAATCCTTTTATCGTCGTTTCAAAGACGAAGATTGAATGAAATTGGCTTTTACAAATATATATATATACTTTTTTATTATTATAAATATATGTCACTCTTAGCAGACCTCGCAATTGAATTAATTTACATAACGTAATACTTGATGAATATCGAAGAGATTAAAAACACAATTAACAAGTTGATCTTGATACAAGAAGGAAAATTAAAGTGGTTTGATATTTTCTTGTTTTTTTAATTTTTTACATCTTCAATTAACTTGGCACAAACTTTCGCACAAATCAACGAATTATTTTATTTAAAAATATGACAACTGTACTAAAGAATGAAGACATTGTGTATCTTGTACTATTGACTATTGTTGATAGACTAACATTTTTAAATATAAATATAATTTGTTTTTTTTTGTATATGTTAAAAATATAATTTTATTATTATAAATAAATTTATAGACTAACTCAAGAGCAGTCTTTTATAACGTTTTACCATTTTTACATAACCGCATATAAAATTAATAAATGTATAATCTTATGTGAAAGTAAATGAAAGAAAAAAATGATATATATATTTAATTGTATTTAATAATATTAAATTAATACAATCATTAGCTGTATAAATAATACCTACAAAGAGACGCAAAATAAGTACAATTAGAAAATATAAATAATTTAGACAAGAATAATGTTGTACTTATCTAAATTACTAATAAATGTTTAACCCTTTGCGGTTGACGACTTTTTCGGCTGCGCCAGGTGATAGATCGATGCGATTTTCGCGAATGTGTCGGGCTTCTTATAGGTACAATAAAATTATCCTACACATAAATTATCTTACAAAAACGTTATATTTTAACAATTCATCTATATTTACACCTTTAAGAATATAATTTCGCAAACTTAATCTCTGTATTTTACTTTCGAGTGATAATTTATAAAACATTGACCAAGATGCATTCTTGGTTTGTCTGGACATGTATCACAATAAGAGCTCGTCTCGCGTCTTCCACCTGGTGTGTTTCGGATAGAACAAACCTTGCAATCCCTTTTTGTACCACTAAGCATTACGTGGAGCTTTCCATTGAGCCGAATCTCATCCGAGTTGGACGTCGATGTTGAAGGTCTTCGCGGCTGTTGAAAATCTCCTTTCAACTGCTTTACTAACATTTTTCGGAATTGTAAGTGGTTAAGTGGCTGTTCGTTTCTCTGCCTTTTGACTAGCTTGTACAGAATATAAGAATTAATTAAGCAAATTTCTAGTCCCCAAAAAAATAGCATGCGCCACCACTTCGATGGTTTTCGCATAAAGCAGTATGTGGAGGCATACTGATCGGCCAGGTCAATGCCGCCCATGGATTTTAGGTAATTAATGACAACATCGGGCTTTCTAACAACTGTTTGAACACCATGCCGGAGTGTTCTTTCTACGTCACTCATTGCCGCATTATGAAAATTTGTCAATACAGTAACAATTCTCTTATCTTTCCACGCTAGAACCAAATTATCAATTCTGCGGTAGGCTACCATCGGTTTTCCTTTAGGAAGTTGTTTTTTTTTAATCACATCTGGCAACCCTTTTCTATTAGGCAAGATCCCAGTCAAATGACACTTCAGTTTAAGTAATTCATTCGCCAAAATGTAGCTAGTGTAATACCGGTCAGTAAACATATGATGTCCCTGTGCACCAGGAACTCTATTCAATAGCATTGTGTATAAATGCAATGGAATTCTTGTTGATACTGGAAGGTCCGGTCTTATTAATAATTGTGTTGTCAGACTGCCATAGTACGGTAGAATTTCACAAATATATCCCGTACCAGAATCTGTCAGTATGTAAATGTTGATACCCCATTTGGTCGGTTTCTTTGAGTTATATGTAGTAAATGAGACCCGTCCTTTGGATTTTACAATAGACTCATTGACACAAATCTCTTTGCCCGGTGTGAAATAGTTCAAAAGACTTGAATTTATGTAATCAAGGTAGCCATTTATTAGTTGTAAACGTGTTCTGGTGTAGCTACCTTGCGCTGAAACTATCTCTGTATGTAGCATCCAAAAAATTTGGGTAAACCGATCTCTTGAAAATGTATTCGGGTAAAATGGAATGTAGCTTGTAGCGTCTGTTGACCAATATTCTTTTATATTGGCCGCTGTCATTGTCCCCATATTTACTATAACTGCGATAAACGCCCAAAATTCTGCTTTTGTAACATTATACCACGTGCGCCAAATTGATCGTGACGACAGCACCATTTCTTCTAACTTTCTTGAAGCATAGCGATTCGTATCTGCTACTATCTGATCCACCAGCTTATCGGTAAAAAACAACTTGAAAAAATCTAGAGGCTCTACAACATTTGAGGATACCCGTGGCCCTGCAGGTCTTTCACCGGGAATGAATTTTATCCTAGGTGGTATTTCCATTGATTCGTCACAAGGTGTCCATTCCGATTGATCAGAGGGTTGTGGGGCGTCACTGTCACTTTCGGAATCACTGTCTGTCATTCTGATCCTTCGATTCCTTACATCCAATACAACTTCATCATCTTCATCACTACTTTCGCATTCTTTATCACTAGTTTTGTTATGTATGTGATCGATTTCGTCCTGGACTATTTCAAAACAGAATTCATCGTCGCTAGAACTGATTTCACTTTTGATATCCATTTTTCTCGGGGTTCGAACAAAACCACACTGTAAAAATTTTGCAGATACTTTTGCCACGATCGTCGAGTCTCAACCGAGGCCAGAGATATTTTCAGAGCCGCCGTCTTAGAAAGACCTTTTTCTAATTTTTTCTTATCCCCGTTAAAATGTGTGATTTGACATTTTATACGAAAGAATATCAATAGCTAAGGAACCTTTTCAAGAACCAATACTGCCTTCCTATCGCTTGGAAATAATGAAATCTAACATAAACACTGATTGTCGCCGCTCAGTCGACATCCAACCTGCGGCGCGAATCGCCATGGCGCCTGAGTGGCGCATTCCGCAAAAACTTAAACCATTAAACTCTAAACATAACGTATATTCAAATTTGTTTAATAATCTTTAGTTTCTTTTTAAAGTTTTATTTAATATTAAGTTAATGTATAAAAATAATATTTGGATCACGCTTGAAAATCTAACATAAAATTAAAGAGCACTATCTTCTAATGAATTGTGTATGCCGTTGCTATCATCATCTCCAATCATCTCCTGTAAATAAAACATAATATATATATACATTACATCAACATTATCAAAATCATTCGTTAACTATTAATTGCAATTAATTTTTCTTTCACTTACTTGTAATACTTCAACTAATGTCCGTGTTTCATTCAACATTTCGTTACACAAACGATTTTCTTCCTGCAATGTTACTATGCGTTCGTGTAATGCTTTATTTTCATCTAGTGCTTCATCAAGTGCTATTCGTCGTCTTTCTGCTAATACTTGCCAATAATTCTCGCTTGGACCAGCTGTAATACAAAAACGCAAACATTTAWTTAGAGATCCATGTAACTTCTTCAATGAAGATACATTTAATGCAAACACAATTTGATATACACCTTCAGATGTTAAATCTTCTATATCAATTCGAATCAACTCTTCTCTACTTGTTTGAACTGCCTTATCTTTTTTGTAAAAATAATTTTTATTTTGTATGCTTTCTTTTTTTGATTTCACCGATGTGTCTTTAACATCTCTAAAGTATAAAATTGTATAATAATATTAATTCTTACAATATACATTAGTCTCCTATATAATGTTAAATAAATAAAAATATGTACAAATACTTTTTTATTGTATCTTGAAGTGGTAATTCCGCTTTGACGTGAATTTCGTTTTTTACTTTCTCCGATATATTTCGAATATCCCTGAAGTAGAAAATCGTATAATAATATTAATTCTTCAAAGATGCAGTAATTTCCAATACAATATAAATAAAAAAAAATATATATATATATATAAATACTTTTTTACTGTATCTTGAAATGGTAATTCTGTCGTGACATTAATTTCAGTCTCACTCAAGATCCCTTTTTCCGTAGATTCCGGCTATAAAATGTGCAAATGACTTTCTGACCTTAGCCTGTTTTAATAAAACAGAAAACTGTGATATACCACATCCCTTAGTTGAACTAAGGCTCGATTAATCTAACCTTCTATTAAATTATGTTACTTTAGCAATAATTTTTTACCAATACGTATTGATAAAGAAATAATTATTTAAATATATTTATTAACATCCGTTTGAAAAATAATATAAATTAAATCAACTATCACTTAGGTATGTCACTAGGGTATGTTTTTATCATATGTTATAACTTGTTGCTCAGACTATTTAAAAAAAATTCATCCTTACACTAATCCAATTCTATTATAAGTCTAACAAACAAAATATCTAATTTATTATTAAATGTTTTCACAATATTGATAAAAGAATAAAAAGAAAATATAATAATATCAATATTTATACTAACCTCTGAAATGGAGGTTTTGGAGGCAAGAACTTTCGTTTCACTTGCTGGTTTCATTATTCGGTATCGATATTCCAAAGTAGAAATGTAATCTGTTTATAATAAAATCAAATCAACTTTATTACTGGAAACATATTTAAAATATTAAATATAATTACTTTATTGATAGATGAAAGATTAAGATATTTGATAAGAGGAGAAATAACCAAATATTTTAGGTTACACAAAATTAGGAATTTTAATTAAATATACTTTCTAACGAAAAATGATTATTCAACTTTCCTAGAAAAATAATAAGGTACTATTGCTAAATACTCAAATTAAATACTGATTATTCTGTAGTGCCGCTTATATACGAAAGTTGCGCTTTAAAACTGAGTCTATAGATGACGCATCAATTACTATAGCCTAGGAACATTTTCATAGTTCAGTGTAGTCAACTGTAATTATTTTTATATATATTTTATTCATTCTTAAAAACTTTAAATATAAAATAAGATCTTTAATAAAATACGAAAAATAGTTTTGATTTATTATATAAACAGTATTTTTATATAAATTGCTTTTTTTTCTATGTTTAAAAAGTGTGACAGTTAATTCTAGTATTATTTGAACTTTGGTGGCTTGAACTATAGTTTCTAAACGGTTGTGATGAGTTTATAAGTGACCAGTTAAATCACATGTCAACTGTGGATATTTACGATGAATATCGGATGAAATATATCGTTATATTTGGTTTATTTTTCATAAAATAAGATATTAAATATAGTTCGCATATTATTCTTTTGAAACATAAAGTTCATTTTATATATATTATTGAATCATGAAACCTACAAGTGATCAAAAAGTTTCTGGCGCCAAAATTGCCACATCAGAGGTTAATGTAAATATTGTTTATTCTAGTTTTTTTTTATTAATTCAAAAATATCGTGAATAAATGTTATCATTGAATTGTAAAAAAATTAAATTGTTAAATGTTTTATTATGAATACAATTCTAGAAAAGAAATATATATTTTAATTATATATATATATTAAAATATATTTTACAAACACAACAGATACTTAATTGAAGTCCATTCTAACAAAATAGCAGTTAGTTTAATTTAAATTATAACATAAACGAATTTTAGTAAAAACATTTTTAAATATTGTTTGTTAATTAAAACATTACTGAAAAAATCATGTCATCGTTAAAAATAACATGTATTAGTAGAAGAGTAGATAATTAGCCATTTCCTTGTACAATCAAAAGAGATTGTATAAAATTATTTACTTTATTTTAATTACACAGCTTAAACTCAGAGAATCTTTACACGATTTGCAACCGACAGCTATGGACAAGGAAAATCTAGTTGGCGGTGGAAGAACCATCAAAACAGATTCATCAATCAAAGATGCATTAAAAAAGTATTAAAATATATTTACTTTATTTGTGTTATATATTAGATATATATAAAAATGTATTCCACAAGAAATAATATTATTGTATGATTTTTTACAACAGAGATATCGAAAGCACAACGGAGAAACCAAAAATAACAAAACAAAAACACAAAAAAGTTATTTGTAAAAATAAGGCAGTTCAAACAAGTAGAGGAGAGTTGATTCGAATTGATATAGAAGATTTAACATCTGAAGGTGTATATCAAATTGTGTTTGCATTAAATGTATCTTCATTGAAGAAGTTACATGGATCTCTAATTAAACGTTTGCGTTTTTGTATTACAGCTGGTCCAAGCGAGAATTATTGGCAAGTATTAGCAGAAAGACGACGAATAGCACTTCATGACGCGCTAGATGAAAATAAAGCATTACACGAACGCATAGCAACATTGCAGGAAGAAAATCGTTTGTGTAACGAAATGTTGAATGAAACACGGGCATTAGTTGAAGTATTACAAGTAAGTGAAAGAAAAATTAATTGCAATTAATAGTTAACGAATGATTTTGATAATGTTGATGTAATGTATATATATATTTATATTATGTTTCATTTACAGGAAATGATTGAAGATGATGATAGCAACGGTATACACAATTCATTGGAAGATAGTGCTCTTTAATTTTATATTAAATTTTCAACAGTGATCCAAATATTACTTTTATATCTTAACCTCATATCGAATAAAACCTTAAAAAAAAATTAAAGATAATTAAACAAAATTGTATTTATATTATATTAAGAGTTTAATGATTTAAATATTTATTATTAATTTAAATAAATATAATTAACGTTATTCTTATCTAAGATAGAAACTGTTAGATTCCTCATGGATTTCATTATTCATGAAAATATATAAAATTTACTTTTTTTACTTATTAATATATAGTAGCAGTAATAAGGAATGAATTTAGGTAAATATTTTTATTGATAAAATTATAAACTAATAACAATTTAACAAGTATAAAAATAAAACCTTTATATAAGCCTATGTCATAACAATAAAATACTTTTACTATACAAACAAAAATATAAGAATAATGATTACTTAATTATATCATTTACTTTTTGTTCATTAAATAAAATGCTTATCTTCCACCTTCTATTATGTATAAAAATATACTTAGTCTTACTTTTGATTTTTGTTAGCACAGTTACTTATACATTAAAAATAGATTAGTTTATTACCAAATTGTTACTAATATTGTAATAACTTGCATTTAAGATATCCTTAGATAGTTTAGATTATTTAATGTAAAGTAGTAATGTCTAATGCTTGCCAAACTTGATCAAATATTTATCTATAATGACAAAGTACAATATGTTTTCATCTTTTATAAAGATGTTTCATGTAACTATTCTTTTCATGTAATTACACTGTCGAAAGAATTTGTGCATACGTTTTTGTTGCAATTTTTCAACTTGATTCATGCAACTTTCATTTTGACATAGAGCACAAAATTCAGAAGATATAGCATGGAACGGTGAGCGAAAGTAGACGCTAGCATTTTTCAATAACTTATTTTTGCGATGTGCCCAAACATGTAGAATAACTTCAAATATCATAAGTAATACCAAAACCCAACGAGAATATATGACAGCTGGTAGAAACAAGCAAATTGGATTTACTTGTCCGAAAGATGATCCTATCGGAACCGGCTCCATTTCCATATTATCTAATTTACAGCCCGATTTCTTGGGCATCATATTATCTTTCACTTGTTTTGGTATCTGTAATAAATAATATTTCAATATTTAATCCGAAGACATATTTGGAAAGTATTAAAGTAATTTATAGAAAGTATAATTAACCGCACCCGTAAAACATGTTGTTAAATTGAAAAATATTCTTCACCTGAAAAGGTACTTTCCTACTTCTTTGCGTAGCACTCCCTTGAAAATTAACTTCAGGTTCACCAGTTTCAGCATTGTTCATTGAACAAATAGGATTACGCATCTCTAAATTGTCCTGGAAAGATTGCATCAAACTTTCACCTGTCTCTTCGTCTATGAAAATCTGCTCCATTGCGTATATACCTTCGACCATTTTCCACGTTTCTTTTACTTGAAGAGAAAAATTAAAAACTAACGAATGAAAAGGTTTTTGGGGTCACTTCCCGGACGTTGTTTTTGATACGCTTTATTCTAATGAGTCTTTTAGTCTGAAAATAAAACGTTTTTGAAAGCGATTGAAGCGCTAATTAACATTCACTTATAATTATTTATGTACTTATGAAATAGAAAGAAAAGTAAACAAACTATAAATGCGGTCTGGCCGATTTAAAAAAATTCATTTGAAGAAAAAGATTTAAATAAGAGCTTGATTTTAACATTGTGAAACAAAATGAAGAAGAACGTATGATGATTACTAACTATATTTATAATAAGCAAATAATAAAGGTAAATCATTGACAAATAACAGATAAATAATTTGGAGTAAAGCTTTGACAAAAATCTAATTATAAATGAGATAGGTGAATAAGGTTAATAACATAGCACAATAGAGAAATTATGGAAACGAAAAGGTGGAATTGTATTGAGAAACGTATGGGAATCGAACTTTTTTCGTTTTTTTTTTCTAATTATAAATATTTAAATGCTGTAATCCTGGTGTAAATAATTAAAATTTTCGAGGCTGGTATCATCACTGACGGATTCCGGAAAGCAAGTGCAACATACAAATCCGTATTTTCTGCAGAGTGATGCAATGTACGAACAAAAAATATCAAGCATACAGCACATTGTTTAAAAACAAAATTTATCTTATTCTTATTTTTAATATTTTTTTCTTTAACTCGAGAATGCAACAAATTTTAAATTTAATATCCGTAACAACAAAATCAAAGACTATCATCTAATTATTTTCAATAAGAAAAATTCGATGTTCGTTTGTTTCTTACCTTTTTAATAACTTATTTAATTATATTATAAACTATATTTGATCTTTTTTACAATTTAAATTAAATAATTAATGAACTGAATATTGTTTTAATAAATTTTTTTTTCCATTAAAAAAAGTTAGGCAATAAAATCTTATATTAATAATACACACACATTTTTAACAATGATTAATTTAATTGTTTGTATATCATATGATGATATGATATGAGATATATATATATATATATATATATATATATATATATATATATCCTTGTATAAAATTTATCTTTAATGATTAGATAAGGTTAATAATTAAAGCTAAAAAAATCAATTATTTCTTGATGCTTCTAATAATCCATTAAATTTATACAAATTTGTTTCTTTTTTGCTATTATTTACAAACAATATTATTATTTTCCCCTTTTTTTCAATTTAAATATATTTCGTTAAGAAATCTAATCGAGATATGAGATAATTTTGTTTCGTTGGATAATAAAAAAGAAGAAAAAAAAATATTTTACACTATCGATTAAAAGATAAGATATAGTTTAAAGAAAATTTAACAAAAACGTTTACAAGTTAGAAGATTTTGGATAATTATTATTACAAAGATTGCTTACACGAGAAATAAGTAAATATGAAATCCTGTAATGAGTTGATATTTCAATTTATCTGACAAGGAAATATACTTTATTCCTGATAACAGCAACTCACTAAATGTCTGCCATGACTAAAGGTAAGACAGCTAGTAAAAAAAAAAAAGAGTATCTATTACGTATAAGAATAGTAAGTAAATAATATAGAAATTCTCTATTATCTCCGTATGAAAATTCTTATCTTTTGACATTTTTATCTGTTAAAAAGAGGGAAAAAGTTTTAATTTAAACATATTATAAATTATTTAATCGAATAAAATACTTCATTTGTTAAATAATTAACTTTAATAATTTTATTGTAATTAATTAGTCCTTGAAATCGCAATACTTTTACGTGATGTATATTTCATTTTAATTTCATATTATACTTCTTTATGATTGGTTGAATAGGTAGGTAATTTTCTAACCTAAGATTTGTATTATACTCAAAGATGTTACATAAATATAATCCATATCAAGGAGACAGAAAAAAAATCAGGAAAGAAAAACATTTTAAGTTCTATGTTTTTTTGCTATATTGGACAAATTATTTTAATAAGATATGCGTAATGTCCATTTAAATTTGATTGGTTAAGATATTTAAGCGGTAAATTTTAAACTTATTGAAATAAAATTAGGGAAAAAAGATTATACTAATCTAATCTAATTCTCATAAAATTTTGTTTTGATCTATTTCATGTATAATTAATGTAAATTAACGATATTAAAACAAGTAATTTTTAACAGACTACAAAAATGATGGACATTTTATTGTCAGTTTGTTCATCCATTAGAGAGTTTGTTTTTAAGGTTCCTTACATTTTTTATTATTTTTTTCTTGATAGAGTCTAATATATCATATTAAAATTCTTTTTCATGATTTTATATTTTATTAGTTTTGTAACTACAAATATATATTTATTCAATTTTATTTGTGTAAAACATATATATATATATATATACAAAATGTTTCATGTAGAAAAACTTTTTGTACACACGTAGCATTGGATTATCTGCAATGTTCATTTCAATCACGATAAACATCACTGTTCGATAATTTTTAAATATTATACCTACGATTTCTATCGTTAAAAAAGTTTTTCCTATTTTTACACGTAAGTATTCAGTCGTAGCTCAAAAATTGCATTAGTAATGCATTTCGGCCAATAATTAAACATTAAAAAAAAACGAAAATTTGATCTTTGATTGATTGTGTACATGTATACATAATTAAACATTGTGCATTGAAAGTTAGTATATATATAAATAAATATCGATAATTCTAAAACATATTCAATTTTATATCTTATTGCTAAATAGTAAAAGTTATAGTCGTGTTAACAGAGAGAGCGTTATTTTTTCTCTTGTGTAGGCGTTGAACTCGTTTTTTCTTCCGTTTGCTCTTGTGCAGAAGATAGGAATTGTGTTAAGTGAAGAATTGACAAAACGCTGGAGGTATAATTTTTTACGTCTTCCTCTGTAATAGTTTTCAATTGTGCTACAACAGAATGATAAACGCGATTGGCTGTTTTCGTAGACAAATGTCCGACTTTTTGTACGATGTGTAAGATTTTGTTCTCCTCAGCAGAAACTGGATCTGTAATATAAAAATCGATAGAATAGAATAAGTGTGCAAATTCTCTTAGGATTAATAGTTAAAAGTTAGTAACACATACTCGGTGTAGATTCTTCTCCACCGACAGCTGGGAAATAATGATCCAATAAACGATCGATAAGAACGCTGGTGTTATCTACACCTTGGACAGCCATGGTACCAAATTGAGTATTCAGTAATTCGTTAGTTTTTGTTATACTTATTTCTTTTAACGCTGAAGCATGTACAGTTGCCGATGTCTTTAAAGAATGAAGTTTTTCTATCGTAGGCTGAATAGGACTGCTCATTACAGCTTTAGCAGCGTCATAAATCTAATAAATAAATCATTTATTATTTATTTATTTATCATATTAACATTTACGTCAGATTCATGAAAATTCAAAATTTGCGCTAACCTCTTGCGGCGGTTGCTTGACCATTGGAACTTTTTTTTCAACGATATCGAGTCCTTCGCATAGTTTCTGATCAACAGCATTTATTTGTCCTTCAAATTTTTTTGCCAATGGCGCTGCGATCGGTACCGCTGTTGCAGTAGCATAATTAAATCCAGCTTCTACGTATTTCATAGCCCAGTTTACAAATTGATTCGAATCTTTTAGGTAAGAATACGTCGATTCTGTTTTCTCTATAGCTGAGTGAACCATGGGAATTTTTTTCATTCGATTTAATACCTCCAATTGTGGACCTGAACTGTTTTCTTGTTTAGTTTCCGCCATTTTGGATTTTTTCTCTTTTCAAACTCTGCGAACAATAATTCTTTTTACATTAACAATTTTATTACATATGCATTGAGTTTTACTATATCATTATATAAATATAATTGTTTTAGTTAATTTATAAAAATAGGGTACAAATATTTTCTCTTTAAATATTTTTATATACTATCACTATATATTGTTGACTTTGAACCTTTCATCGATTATAAATAATTTTTATCATTATTTCTATCTAATATTCCGTGAAGGATATTGGAGATTTGTTATTATCTATCTTTTTTATTTACCACATTTTTTCCTCTACCTTGTAATTGATCAGTACACTATAATTACGTCATATTTTGAATAGTATTATACTTTGGACTCCTGTTATTTATCTTACTCGTCTTAAGATTTTACTAAGACGTCTTTGATTTTTTCTTTGATTGCAAATAGAAAAGTAAATTGGCGTATAATAAACAAAACAATAATTTTTAATAATTAAAAGTAGTTTTTAGTTAATCACATTACTCATAATTTTATTATACATCAATTTAATTTGCATGAGTCAAAATGTATTTAAACTTTAGACTTGATATATATTTTATAAATTTGAAGTTTTTTTAATAGAATTGATCGAATGATCAATCAACGTTAGAAAACACAAATTTCTTAAAACTTTCTCGAAAAGAAAGTGAGACGTTAATTTCATTATCAATAATAGAAGAAATTTTTTTCTTTTACTTTCTATTAATTAAATTTCAAAATAGTCAAAGTTGTTGCCGCTTTGTCTAAATATTTATCGGATCGATTATCGACTTATTTATCTGTTATCTCATTTAATTTAAATTTGGGAAAATTACTAGCAAAAAAAAAATGGCGCATAAAAACGTAAACAGTGCATTGATTTTTAAATATATATTGAATGAATAGTCATAAATAATTAAATGGAAAGAAAAGAGAATAATCGAAATCGTTAATAGTTAATTGAGTTCTATTTTTAATTAAATTATACAGGGCCAATCGATAAATCAATTCAATAGAATTTCTTTGTATTTTCGTATATAACCTAAAATATAATAGAAATACATTTTATAAATTTATTTTTCTTAATTTTATTCAAGGAAAACAATAAAAAAGATGATGTAAGTTTATGTAAAGTATGAAAACGTTTCAAATTCCGGTCACGTATGTAGGACTGTTATCAAAGTCATAAAAAAGTATAAGAAAAAGAGTGAATAAAGAATAATCAAAACAAAAATAAAAGTAAATTAAAAAGAAAAAGAATATAGAAAAGCTAAGAAATAATTTGACGTGTAAATCATAATTGTTTATAATGAAGTTTAAAAATTGTTAAAATATTTCTGTGCGTACGTGCATATGTACTCGTACACATATATAGATATTTCTTAAGAAAGATACTTCGAGATTGTGATTAAAATACATTTTATCTAATTCTACTTTATTTTCTAATATATTAAATTATATTAATATTTTTTAAATAAATCATTAGTTTATTTTGAAAAACAGACTTACGATAAAAAAAACACTATTTCAAAATGTTTTCAAGTAATTCGTTGAACACTTACTATGTCTCACTTTGTTCGAAGAGATACTGAACGTTGGTATTGCCGGCTTACGTGATGCTCATCTTTTTATAATATCTTTTCGTTGGTCAGTTAGGAAGAGGAAGCACCAATAAACGACGAGGAAGTAAGAACGAAACATCGGTGAAGACCAAATGCAGCGCCATCTTAAATACCGTATCGATCAAAACAAGAACCCTTGTTCTTATTTTCTTTTATTTTTTGCTTCATAAGTTAATTTTTACATGCTATCTTAAATTTAAAGTTTTTTATATCATTAAAAGCTTATAAAAAGCTAAAAAGAATAAGCTTAATTCAATTAATTTACAAAATTCTTCATAGGCCCGTCAGATTAGTCATACATATATCAATGCATCAAGACATTTGTTTTAATCTAATTTTTTAAAGCGAAACATTTTTTATTTTCATGAAATTTTTACTCCTTAACGTAGAGAGTTAATTAATAAAAATAATATGCTAAGATAAATTTTGCATCTCTTTTTAAAATAAAAGTAAATTTAATTGAAATAATTCTTTCTATGTTAGGCTCGAAACTTTTCAACCCATCTACGTATTTAGATACTGAAAAGATAAATTTCTAGATACGCCCCTGTTGTTTCTTCTGCGCAGTACAGTAATGTACACAGTAGAATATAATCTTTCATCTCGTTAATTTTATGACGTGGAGATAAAACGTTGGCACTTGTTGCTGACGATTTACGTGTTGATTCATAATAGACGGAACGTTAAGTTGTACTATGCACCCGTTTAAGATAAATAACATTATTAATCGGATTTAGCGGGAAAATATGAGTCATGATGAAATGCAATTCTAGACTAACTTTGCGTGAGGTTTTTGTATCATTGATGCTGTATCATCGTAAACTACTATACCAATCGATAAGAATAGTCAATGGATTAATTAATTCATGTACATATTAAAAGTATAATATATATTCTTATTTGTACATTATTATTATAAAGATGTGTATATATGAAATATTATTATTATTATTATTATTATTTTAAAATACAGTGTATTTTTTAAAATTTTATTTTTAAATATTATTTCGTACATTTTTTTGAAAACTTGTAAAAATAACTTTATTAATGATTACTACGATAATTTGATGGATTATCTTGTTCAGATCGATTTATTTTTTGTAAGATATCGAAACACGACAGAAGGAAATCATCCAGACTGTAGTGTTTTCATTGGAATATTAGGCTCAAAGGTTGAAACGATTCTCGAAGAGTTATCACATTTTGATTTATATATATGAATATTAGGAAAACATATTTTTTTTCCTTTTTATACTATCATGTTGAACACACATAACATATTTTAATACGTTTAATTTTAGACTAGAAATAAGAACAACACCATGGAAAAATAAACACTTTAAACCATTAATAAAATGGTTTGTTTAAATGATATTAACAGAAATATCAAAATCTTTATTTAAATACGATTTATATTAATTGATTTTTAATGGATTTATTATTTCTTTTCTTTTTGTTGTTCTTACGAATAATATTTTTTCTTTGTCGATTGAAATATGTTTGATAAATGATATTAATTATATAAACGAAATATTATGAATCACAATAAAAAATACATAAAAAGATAAAATGATGCGAATTATTAAAAAAACAAAAAAAGCTTTTAATTCTGACTCGAGTTTTGGTTAGTTGGTGTTTGTTGATTGGGTTGTTCGCATTTATTAGGAGTCGTTAGCTCGATAATTTTATCATTGATCGCGTGTATGTACTGTGTGAGTTGAAAAAATTCTAAAAGAAAAGCGATGTATCTCCTCAGGTTTTCCTTGCTAATTTCCTTAGTGCGCTGGCATATATTTAGATAAACACGTCGAGCTGTTTTATTGGATAAACGGCCAACAATTTGTAAAGTATGAAGGAGTTTGTCCTCTTCTTCTGTTTCTACCGTGGCATCTGTTCGGTGAAAGTTCAATGTTATTTGTAATTACTTTCAATCTTTCTCCATATCTATTTCTTAATTTCTTTCTTTTTTTTTCTTCGCGCGTATTTATTTATTTTATTTCGATGTTTATTTTTACTCACTAGTTTCATCTTCATTTCCAATTGCAGGAAAATATATGTCTATCAATTTGTCCACGATTACAGCGGTACTGTCTAATCTCTTAACAGCTTCAATACCATAATGAGTATCTAAAAGTTGATTAGCTTTATTCCAGCTGATATCTCTCAGATTCGTAGCTTGCTCTAATAAAGCGTCGTTTACGTAATAGATCGTTGAAACTGCCGGTTGAACTTTTTTTACGGCTAAATCGTAGGCATTAGCTAAAATCTGAAGAAAGATTTTAAAAAAATAAGTGGAATGGGATAATCTTAAAAAGATAAGATATATATTTTGTTTCGAAAGAAGAAGAGTACGGAAAGATAATATATATATATTCATCATAATTTCTCTATCTAGGTTCTTCCTGTTGCGTTCTCACGAGCTAGGATCGATTTACCTACCTGCTCGGGTTTCTCCTTCACCAATGGGACTCTTTCTTCGATTTTGTCGAGACCGAAGCAGAGCGTGTGGTCGACAAAATGTATAGGAATCTCGAATTTCTTAGCTAGGGGGGCGGCTATGGGTACAGCTTGCCTGGTTGCACTCTCGAAAGAATTCTCGGCCGTGGTTAGAGCCCAGTGTACCAACCAATGAGAGTCTTTCAGTTTACTATAAGTTTCTGCCGATTTATTTAAAGCCATTACGATCATTGGAAGCTCGAGAACACGATGAAAAACTTCGAGGTGAGGTAGTTGAGCAGTTTCCGTAGCCATTTTGATTTTGATGAAAAATTTCCTAAAAATATTATTCACATTACCACATATAATATTAGACACATTTCTCTTTGATAATATTAAATATTATCATTCATGTATAGACACATATGATAATTCTTTATTTATGATTTTATCGTCTAGCATGTCTTAATCTTCAATTTGAATTTTAAATATATATTAATTATAATACTAAATACTATTTCTCAAGATAACTATAAATGTGACAATAATAATTTTCGCTATTACTGCATGACAAGCGTTTGTATTTATTATGTATGTTTTGTAAACAGACGTGTTTCCATTGCGATGAGCCTCGACGAGGTCAACGAATTGAAATTGTCTAGAGATATGTACGTGAATGCGAATGCTTCTTCCTACTTTCTCATACGGAAACGACCCTTCTATAAAAGATAAAAGTATCTCACGGGAGTCTAGAAATATCCGTCCAACTAGTGTCGGTGAATTTTTAACAAGTAAACTTTGTTATCCATCACGATTTTATTAAATTAAAGTCTTACACTATCTAGTCAAATAATTTGCAATAAAATATTTTCTAATACGATAAATAAAACGTCGATAAGATAACTTATATACGAGATAAATCATTTATTTATTCTTATATGAAAATATCTAGACTAATTGTAAATTTTTTAACGTACCAGTTTATGAACATACAATAGACACATTATATATAAATAAATATATATATATACACTTATAAATTATAATATTAAAGAATACCGTTATTTATAAACAAAGATATAATAACATATATCATAATTTATATTATAAAAAATAGTAGAATTTTATTTAATAAAATATCTGTTAAATAAATGTGTTATACTTACGTATTTAAAAGTAATTTGTAATTCTTGAATTTCGAATGTTTCACGCGTTGACAATAATACAAAACAAAAATACAATCCTTCCCTCGCGGTAGGTGACGCGCATCTGGCCTCGTACACCTATTGCAAGTTTTCGAGGTATAGCGTCGCGCATGCGCAGTATGCACGGCGACTGAAGTTCGATTCGCGCGTAAACAATTTTGAATTCGATTTTAAAGAGACATAAGTATAATTTAAAATAATTTTAAAAACAAACTTTTTTTTCAACGATGATTCGTTAACTTTATAGATACATTTATTTTTTCACCAATAATAATAACATCAAATTACAGTAGGAAACCAATACAGGTAACTAATTATTCGACACTTATACTTACGATTATCGTTAAAAACGGTGAGATGATTTTTCCTCGTTCTAAACTCCTAATCTTATTACCCCGAATCATTATGGATTATGTATTTAGATATATGGATATGAAAAGAAGAAAAACAAAAAGTAAATCAGCATTAAAATGAAAAGAAAATGAGAAAGAGAAGAAAAGTAAAATTTCGATCGTGCTGATATCTATGATATTTTTGATAACACACTTTTCTTTTCTTATTTTCTCTAAGTGTTATGGATGTAATTTAGTTTTATAATAGGGAAGGAGTTAATAAGAATGATGATTTTTGTCCTAGACACATTTTCTCGACTAATTTTAAGTAAAACCATTCTACTTCTTATTTTTTATCTCCATTTGTTTATACGTTATCTGTTAGGAACGTTTGTTGGTTACACGTTTACGCGAAGAAGTAGAAGAACATGACAATGATGATGATGACGATGATGATGATGATGGTGTAGAAGAAGTAGTAGTAGAAATAATATTTCTATGTGCCGTTGACCTTGGATGGTAATCGAGAAGCTTTTCGTTCCCCGAGGGGGGAAGAAACCCGCTCGAGACAGTTTCCGGGTTCTGCTTGGTTACTCGATGCCGTTTACCGGTGCATCGGAAGTCATCGACGTGTGGTTGCTGTGGTTCCGTTGAGGATCTTGTACTCGATTCGACTTTGACGATGTATTCGTCATTGTCGTTCCTGTGGATGTTGTTGGATTTTCTGTTCCTGTCCTTGTTCCTGTTCCCGTCGTTTTTTTTGACACCGTCGTTGTTGCAGTCGTTGCATCCTTCATGCTCGGAGGATATGCAAGTAGTGCGGCTAGCAGTTCCTGAAGAAATATCGCTCGGGAATAAGTGAGCCGATGCTTTTTTTTCCAGAATTAATATGACCTGATTGTTTTTAATGAGAGAAGAAGAGATATCTAATAATCGCGCGTTTTCGTTCATATAATTAATATATTCAAGATATTTCATTAAACTCAAAAAACTCTGATGATAATATCAATGAAAAAAAAAAATAGTTTTTTTTTACAATGAGATCAAAAATGTCAAAAGAAAATCATCATCGTCACGGCACGTTTTTTCCTTTTATTTTTTTTTTAATTTCTTTCAATTTTATATCTTCATTCTTTCAGATTTTACGCGTTGAGATGGGAAAGATTGCAACAAGGTATTACTGTCCGATTATTTATTTCAATGAAAAATTAAAAGAAGATATAGCGTTAACAAAAAAGCGATATTATCTATCTATGTATATATATAGATATATATATGTATATATATAAATTGTAATAATTGTAATTATAATAAATTTTTGTAGAAGAATATAAAAAAAAAAAAAAAATGAAAATTAAAAACAATTATCGTTGAAAGAACCGTGCCGATAATTATCTTCCTTTCTTTACATATTAATTGCATCCTCGTTCAATATCTTTGGTCTCGATAAAGTGATCAAGGATGACAAAAGAAAGAAAAGGAAGGTAAAAATGATAAAAAGCAATAATGTTAGATCATTTGAAAGATTCGTTCGAACAACGACGGACTGTTCTCGAGCAAAGACGACGTCGAGGAGCCCGTCGTCGCCCTCGTCTTCGTCGTCGACGTCGCACTGAGTACTTACGCACCAGTAACCTATTGGTGTTTGTTCCAAGCTTCCGTACCACCGAACGAAGTATCATGGACATCTGTTGCGTCTGCGTCGTCTCTTCTGTCCCGATAATCGATGCCGCCTACGCACCAAAATCAAATCCTTTGCCAATTCTCTATTTCATTTTGTAACATTATTATTTATCGAGAGACTATCTTTTTTTTATATTTTCTATATATATATATATATAATAATAATACATAACGTGTTCAAATTATATATGATGTGTATGTATTGTAATCCGTTAAGGTGGTTTCGAATCGATCTGAATTTCTTCTTTTTTTCTTTCGAGAAAAAAGAAATACTTCAATATCATTGACTTACGAATCAATATTATCATCCGTATTATTTCTTTTTTTCTCGTCGAAATTCGATTCTAAACTATAACTGTAAAATATCGCATATGTTATGTAAGATTTGATATGAACTATACTACAATCGATGAAATAAAAAACATAAAAGGAAAGAGATGTCAGATCGATATTAAACCACTTTTTTGATCGGCCAATTTTCAATCTAGAATTCGATGATTCGACCTTCAAAGTGGCATCCGTTAACGTCAGTAAACGTCGGGAAATCCTGATAAGGAGTTTGCCAATCCTCCGTGGCGTTCTTGCAGCTAAGGATGCTGCACCATTAACGAGATGAACTATGCGTCTTGCTGATTCTCTTGTTAATAAGACGAAAAATTGTTCCAAATTTGTGGGACGTGCTTGATTCTCGGGTTCGGGTAGGCTCAATGAAGCCCATAACTCTTTAGCTTTTTGCAACGCTAATTTAGGATCCTTTGCGATCTAACAAAGAGAAATGAATTATTTGGATTTTAATTAAAATGTTATTTATCATTTTACACAAAGAGATTAGTACTTACCAATTCAATTACGTAAAGAAACACGTGAATGCATTCGGTGCCTTGTTCTTTGAGAGCTCGTGCCTCAGCCAACGTACGACGTGTTAATCTTCTTTGTAATTTTCTTGAAAATCTTGCACCGTGTTGAATAGTACGAGTCGTTTTGCTAACAGCTTTCTTTGAATCAACCTCTATTATAAATATATATATATATATATTTAATGGTTTTCTAATTGTTTTATTTGTTGTTATTGTAATTGTAAATTGTTATAAATTTGCTCAAGAAGAATTAGAAATATATTGAAGAGAGTTTAAATAATACATTTACGATAAAAATAAATAATACCATCAACTGTTTTATCAGCTGTATCATCAGGTAAATAATGATCAACGTATTGATCTGCCATAGTTAGAGCACTGTCCAATGTGTCGACTGCAATACTGGCAGCGTGACTACCAATTTGCTTCACAGTACCAGCACGCAGCAGAACTGGCCTCAAAATTTTATTTGACACATAGTCTCGAGTATACCAATACATCTATAATTTCAAAAAGAAATGTAACAAATTATTCCATTAAATATGCATCGCCATTTAAAAAGAAACGAATCTTAGAAAAAAAAAATCAGTAATTAATTACATGTTGAGGAGGAATATGTACTGCTGGTACTCTCTGCTCAACTATATCGATTCCTTTACATAGCAATTGATCAATGGTAGTGATTGGTCCATTGAAAGTACAGATCGCTGGTTTAGCCGAAGCAGCTGCCAGTGCAAGTGATGTTTCAGCTGCGTCGAGACTCCAATTCATCAAAACATTCGCACTCTAAATACAATTTATTTTTCATATTTTTACTCTGTTGCGATTAAAGAAATTTCTTAGAATTAAGATTATTAAAAAAAAAAAAAAAAAAAACAAATAAGAAGAAGTGAAGTCGAGTGATGATTACAAGTGATTCGAAATTAGAAAAAGGTTAAACAAAAATGATTAATTATCTATAAAAAGTAAAGAAGAAACAACTTTCGTAATCGATAATCGCTCGAAACTTTTCGAAAATGAAGTTATTACCAATCAAAGGAGGAAAGATAAGCCGATGATACCTTTATCCTTTTGTAAACATGTCCAGCGATGTGTATGCCACTTTCGACGATTGGCAGATTCGATAGTTTCGTGATTGATTCAAATTGCACTGGATCCGAATTAATCTGTACTTTATTACTTGGTGCCATCTTTGACCGTCGCTAAAAGAAAATAAAAATAAACAAAAATATATTTTTGCAAAATAATAAGATCGAACGTTCTTCTGCCTCTTAGATGGGATATGGAATATTTTATTTACTTATACGTGTGTACATGGATACATATCATGAAATTTGAACAACGTCATATTGAAAGAGAAATTGGGTTTTGAAAGAGAAAGAAAGAAACGAAAGAAAACAAACAGAAACGACAAGATACCACATCACACGACAAAGAGCAATGACATTCCTCTTTCCTGTTTTATCGATTAGTAACATCGTCGTTATTGTGGTTCATGACAATTATAAAAGTCAAACGAAACGAAAGATCAGTTCTATGAGAAATATACGATTTTTAATATCATTTTATTTATGTTTTTAAAATTTTTTATTCAATTACTGTAAGACAGAGAAAAAAAGAGAGACAAAGACTTCGTTTTATGATTATTTTTAAGTCATGATCAAGAGACCCGAATGTCTTATCGGATTTATCCAAGATTATCGAAATCGTTTTAACCTTTTGTAGAATGAAGCGATGATTTTCCGTTTTAACTAAAACTTTTGCACAATTATATTAAATCTATATATTACGTATAACAATTATATTAAACATATATTTATTAATTAGGTTTATTTTTTTTTCTTTTAAATAAACTTACATATGTGTGATCTCGAATTAGATGCAAGAATATCTTGTTTCATTCGTTCGATTGATTTCTTCTCTTTGGATATTTTCTGCAGATAAAAAAGAAAAAAACAGAGAGAAAAAAAGAAGATACATTGAAAGAATCGTTGATCGAAATGAGCGTCGCTTTAATTAACGATTAAAAGTTAGCATTATTTCGCCGGATGGCACACAAGTACGAGAAAATAATAATAACATGTAGCAGATAACACGGGAAAGTAAGAACGAATGAGAAAGCAATTAAGAATAAGACGGGCAAGATAATTTAAAGGAAAATAAGAGAAAGAAAAGAGAAAGAAAGAACGAGAGTGGGCTGACTGAACGAAGCACGCATATGTATATATATATTTATCTATGTATATAAATAGATAAATATCGTGTTCGAACATCTCCTGAGTTTGAACGAACGGTATTATTATTTTTCAATAACGAACCACTCAATAATTCTAATTATTGTCAAATTATCTTTTCTTTTGTTTCTAATTATTTGACTTTAAATTTACCTTTAAAAAAATGATCATGACAAATAAAAATAATCGCGTTTTAAGAGTCAGCAAATGTTTTTTAAAATGAGATAAAGATTTTGAACATTTTTCATTTATCGAAAATCTTGTACATAAACACTTGTTATCCGCTATCATCTTTAACGATCAATCGGTATTAATGTCTAATAATATTTATAGATTTATTTATCTAATTTTGTTTATCTTACTTTTATTATATCACTTATGTATAAACATATTTTTTCTCATACACTCGGTGTGAACGATTATGATTATACATATGAAATGATGGATCCTCCTACTCTACCTAAAGAGTATCGAACAATTATAGTGATTTGTACGTACCTTGATATTTTTGTCGACGATACAAACTTAGGCGATCACGCGTCGCCAGTTTGGATTTGACAACACGATTGACACAGAATGGTGGTAAGTCCCGTGTTTCGTTTGAGAACGCGTCTCTGACTGCACATCGAGAACTGTGAAATGTTATCTCTTATGTTTGACCTATGACACATTACCGATTATATACAGCCCGGCAGAATGGCAACAGTAAAGGCGTATTGAGAAAAAATTATTCTTTTCTCTTTTTGCTATTTATTTTTTTTTAATCTTTCTTTTCTTTCCTCCCTTTTTTTCTTCCCACACCCATCATTTTTGTTGCATTTTGTCTGATGACGAAGATAAAATCGCTTAAAAAGATAATGTCACTTTAGTGTTACAAAAAATATAGCTTATTTTTAAGAATTTTTTATTGGAATATGGTAACTGTAAGACAACATTCGTTTACAGGACTTTTTCACACACATTTTCAACAACATTCAAAAATTTCTTCATTGCAAGTTGTAACAAAATGGCAGTGTTAGAGCTTAGTGTAAAGTAGAGCAATACTGCCGGTTAGATTTCTTCTCAAATTTTTGATCTATAAAATAAATCTATATATATTTTTCAGTTTTACAATAAATTATATTAAGATATTTAAAAAAATACTGTTTTTTGTGAAAATGGTGCACCATAGAATTGATAGTTATCATTTTTCGATAAGTAATGTAATTATATGGGTTCTGGATAAATTTTGATCATAAGTTGTGGTCATGAACACTTCGACAATTTAAAAAAAATGTAATTTTCATATATAAGCGTTTAAAGTTTCACATAGAATTATTTCATGAAATTTTTGATTTACCTCTAGTCTACGATGTCTGAACCATACAAATTGGTTTTCGATATTTCTTATCTGGTTGATTTCTATGACAACCGAGTCATTTTTATTATTTTCAGTGAGTGATCGTTCCGAATAGTCAATAGATACATCGCGCATCAGTTTACGCACAGTAATTGCAATAATCTTAATCAATCGCTGTACCCAGTATCTAGTCCATCCATCATTATAGATACAAACCTCTATGCAGTTATTAAAGAGATCGTTTTTACTCAATTCCTTCGTAAATCGATTTGATTACATTGAAAATATCCCGTGAGAGAGAGCTAGTTTATGCAAATATTTGTGCAAGGTATAATTGGTTTTCTCTTTTTGTTACAAACACCACGAATAATTCTCTTGCTACGGCTTATCATCAGTCGATAGCTTATGGTTCAATGTCGTCCAGATTTCGTTTTTCATTTTTTTTTCGATAGAATCATGATTACAAAATTGGCTGACTAGTCCGTAGTAAATCGAAAGTTCATCTACAAGCTTTCCGATTAATTTTCCCTTTCATCCGATGTCTTTAATATTTTTTTCTTTTCACAAACAACTGATGCTTGAAAATATTTGGCTAATCATTGCACATTCTTGTGAATATCATTTCCATGAAATTTTTTTCCACAATATTTCAAGGCCCTATAAAGAACATTTTAAGTTAAAACAAAATTTTAGATGTTTTGGAAAATTTTATAGAATAGTATAAATTTTTAATTGAACCTCGGGTTTTTCTCGATTGAAAAAAAAAAGAAATGAAATAGAATAAAAATAAAAATGAAAATAATTACATAATCATGTACATAATAAATTCTTCGTGTATTTTTATTTAGATTACACGGAAAAGAAAAAAAGGAAAAAAATTCAGTTGTAGATTACATGTTAGACTTCGATACATCGATCTATGGAACCGAGTTGACGTTTGTTGTCATCTTCGCTAATTAGGAATCTCCGATAGTAAATAAGTCTATAAAGAATCGTCAAATTATCGATCAGATAATTGGAATACTTTGTCTAGTTCTATACAAATCAATAGATTTTTTTTCGGCATAAAAGTTTCTCTTTCTTTAAAAAAATTTTTCTTAATGAACTCGAACGTCTAGTTTTGATTATTCTTCCTCCTCCTCCTATCATTATCATTCTCTTCTAAGATTTTTCTCTCTAATTCAGGAAAAGAAACTATGATCAAAAAAATCGAAATTATCTCTGACAGACAATCGCAATTATGTTCAAAGTTCAAAGTTTTTGCGTTCGGGTTTGAATGAATGACAGTTAATGTGTAAATTAAAGGGAGATCAATGCTTATATGTGTAGGTTTATTTATAACTGTATAGGTTTATAAACGATATACTCACACTTATTCATTTTAAGGCGATTTCTCAGGTCTCTACATTTCCATCAGATCCGATTGTCTCGCATCGAGGTCTTGCATGTACTGTGCAACAAAAAAAAAAAGAGAAAGAAAATAGATAGAAAGTGAGAAAGAGAAAGAGTGAGGGTGAGAAAGATGCACCAATGGCTTCTCTTCTTTCTTCTTGTCTTCATTTTTATTCATTTTCGTACTTAGTTTGTTTCTGTGCTGTGAAAAAAATTCGTTCTTCGAAAAAATCACTTCTCTTTTTTTCATAAATTTTTTCTATCTTCTATTTTTTTTTTCTGATACCTAGGTCCACTTTTATATCTGTTGTCTCTACTTGATCGTAACGAAATTTTATATCGTTTTTATACGTAACGTCGATGATCATTTGAAAAACAAAATTTTATTTTTGCAAAATGAGTCATAACGCGACTTGGTCCATTTGGAAAATAATTATGTTAAGTTGTATTAATGTTCATCGTTTAGTATTGTAATATATTCATAATTAGATTAATTTTTAATCTATTAGATTTAATCATGTTAGATTAATTATTTAGATTAGATAAGTATGTTTACAATGATATTCGTTAATATTAATCAGCGACACGCGTATGTGAATTTTATTTTAGTCAAATTACTAAACATTTTAATTATGTGTTTACAAGAATATTGTAAAATCTGATATATATATATATATATATATATATTTTATAAAGAATAAATCAAGTTCGCGAATACATTTTTCTATTCAAGTTAATAGAAGCATAAACTTTCCTACCAAAGAAAATATGCTAATGATAATGTTAATAAACTTGTTGATTATCGATATCAATGGTTAATTCAAATCATCGATATTAATAAGCTTTTATTAAACTCAGTACAAATAAAAGAGAGAAAAAAACATGATAATTTGTTTTTTTTTTTTACGTGTGATGCGTCTTAGGTTTATGTGAACTTTTAAAAAAAATTTTAATCGAGAATACATGCGTGATTAAGAATTATGTAATTGATCGTTTACAATGATTTCCAAATATTCAGAATAATATAATATACAGTGAGAGAGTCACAGAAGTATCCATAACTACCCCTACTGTAAATTTGCTTGTAATGCAAAGCTTCAAAAATATGATATAAATTTTATTTCTGGGAATATTTTATTGTTTGAGATACATAATTTTACTTAAATGATCAAAAATTGTGTTATCTCACACGAATATCAGCATATACGTAAGATAATTGTAATGATAAATGGAAATAAAATGCAATGATTATTTTTGTAAATAGTACTTGATTATTTAAGTTTAATTATTATTTTTTAGATAGTCTCCTTTAGCGGGAGATCTATGTCCAGCAGTGGACGCGATTGGTCGATTGATGATTATTTTTTAAGTTTTAATAATTTTTTGCATAAGAATTTTGAGATATTGTATTATAAAAAATATTGATTATTTTAAATTGACAGTAGGAGTACGAATCCTCTTAGTACTCACTATATACGAATGATTAATTCTTTTAATATCAATACCTGTCAATCACAGCTGATATTAGAATTCTTCATTGAAATGCAACGGAAACAACAAGCATCTTGCAACACGCATGACAAACGTGTTAGAGAAAATGAAGATATGTATTATTAGATATTACTATCCAAATCAATTCAGTTTAATCTATGGTTATATAGTACATGTATATACATATACGCATGAGTATATTGAGAAGATAATAATCGTATATGTTTCAAAGTATATATATATATATATAAGAAACCCACATATGTATATAAATATGTACGTAAAGTAATGTTAACGCGTTTGACATTTCTTTTAAAAACGTTTTTGCGTCTTTGAGTCGACAATTAAATAGAATATAGATCAATGCGATTTATCGAATGTATGTCATCTCCTATTTAGTTCTTGAAAAAAAAAGAAAGAGAAAAAGAATTATTTTTTTTTTGCGAATATTTTATTTGCAAATAATGTTTGAATAAAGATCGATTAAAAAAATCTTATTAAATTTTATCACAATTTTCCTTCATTGAAAAGTCAGCTTCTAATTTTCTTACTGGATGAATATCAGCAATTTTTCGTTTGACATTGCTAGTTACTCTTTGTTAGTTAGAATACAGTGATAAATCTCTAGATAGAAATGTTCTCTATTAATCTGACCTTTTTTCTTCAAGTTAGGTTCCTTTGGTATCCTTGAAAATTTTCCTATTTTATGCGTATTCGCATTATGTTGATTTTTTCTTTTCTTTTTTCTTTTTAACATAACTTGACATTTAAGAAGAATGATCGATGATGATCAAACTCGGTTGTCACTTTTGTAGATATCTTTTTTTTTTTTTTAATATCAATTCCCATCTTAATCTGTTTTTATATCCATAAATGATCTAGTTGATAGATCACACGATCTTTTAACTCTGCCCATGTTTAACTTTATCGACGTTAACAACGTTAATAAACGATCTTCTATATTATCTAAAAATAAATCACGAATGGGGTTGCGTGGATTGTAAGACGTAAAAAAGGAAGACGATGACTGAACGATATTTCTTCGTGTCATTCATTCAATTTTGCTTTTAAACGTTTGTCACTTTTGTTAATGCTTTGTACGATTGAAAACAACTGATCATATCATCGATCTACTATCTCTTATTCATTGATCTCCACAATTAATTAATAAAGAATAATTTATATATATTTTGAGTGACCCAAATTAGACTGCAACCCGTTTTACATCAGCACGCGAATATCATCAACGACGATAACGACGACGACGACGACTACGACTACGACGTTACTGAAGTAATAATAAAATAAAATTATTATTAAAATTATGCCACAATTATTTGTTTCGTTATCAAGAAATATGTTCTGAAACGTAATAAACAGAATTATGTAACACGAATAAAACGAATGTAATAAATGAAACATAAAACTGTAAACGTAAATTTTTTTTATTTTATAGGATTTAAGAAACTATTTAGGATATAAATGTCAAACAATTGTTCTTTAGTGCTTGTAAATATTTGAAAAGAATTATTTTGGTGTCAGAAAAGTATATTTCGTTTATATTCAGTTAAAAGTCATTAACTAAAATTTATACTAATTTGAGTTATTGCTCGTCAAACATAGTTTTAATGAGAAAAATAATATTTGAGAAAAGTATACTTTGTTTTTTGTTAATACTTTCACATTCTACTATTGATCTTTTGTTCAAGCACGCTACGATTCGTTGACTATTAAGACACATCACGTTTTACATGGGTTATGCAGGACGTGTCTCGTGCAACGTCTTCTAATATTAACTTCAATCAGTGGCAATAAGGAGGAAATAACTTAACACGTGCACGAGTTATTATTTATCGTCTCGGTTGCTCACGTGATTATGAGAATAGGCATATAAAGGTATCTTGATCTTGAACGGGCCAACGTATTCTTTCGTAGGCGTCGTTCGGGTCAAAGTGAACGTTCGCCTGCGTTTATTGGAATATCGTTCGTTTTCAAAGTTAATTATTTGAAATATTTTTAAAAGACGTGTTATATACTCGATCAAGTTATTTCGTGATTATTTTTGGTTACTTTTTTGTAATTCTAATATTTTCCAAAATAACAAATAACAAATTTTTAAGATAGAAATGCGTGAATTAGAAAGTCAAAGAATTTTAAAAGACGAAGAATGTTTTGAAGTCATAAGAAAGAAACTTCATCGAGATTGTATGGAAGATTTTTCTTTGATCGATTATGAATTAGTGCCTATAGATGGTGTTAATGGTTACATGGGTCAATATTTTAAACTCAAGGCTAAGGTCGCACGACCGATGACACCGTTGGAAACAAAAGATTTGAATTTTTTCACAAAAATACCACCACCTACCAGTAGTCCTCAATATGAGTTCATTCAACAATATGGTACCTTCAAGAAAGAGGTAGAACTTTATACCAGAGTTTTTCCTGAAGTTTTGGATGGTACCGAACAAAGGTATATACCAGAGTGTTTCTTGGGTTTGGAGGATGATGTTATTGTGTTGGAAGATATGGCACATAGAGGATTCGTCATGACAGATAAGTTTGAAACATTTGATTTTGAACATTGTCAGGTGTTGATGAAAACACTTGCCAGGTTTCATGCGAAATCGTTTATCTTCGAGGAACAGTATAAAAGAAATCTACACGACGAATTCTCTCATTGCATGCAAGAAACACTTTGGTCTCTAAAAGACGGTAGAAGCAAAGCCATGTTCGATGCAGCTGTTAAGGGAACGGTTTCTATGATTGGAATTTTACCAAATCTTAATGATAATCAGAAAGAAGTATTTAAAGGAAAAGTCATGGATTTATCCGTAAGTCACATGGACAAATTATCACCCTCGTCTAAGCACAAGAACGTTTTGTGTCATGGTGATTTATGGACGAATAATATTTTATTTAAATATGACAAAGATAAAAAACCGATCGAGTGTTGTTTGATAGATTTTCAATTAGCCAGGTGAGATTAATAAATCATTTTTTTTCAGATTTTCTCATATTAACAAATGTCTTATGTAATATTATTTTAAATCTTTAGGTACAACCCACCAGCACATGATATTCTATGCTTTTTCCAATTTACGACTAGCCGAGAATTACGAGAAAAACATGGCGAGACCTTGTTGAAAATTTATTATGATTCAATGACAGAGGCCTTGAAAGAAGCAGATTTAAACATATCAACGATCTTTCCCTGGTCCGAATTTATATCGTCCATCGAAGATTTACGTACTATGTGTATTACTCATGGTGTTTTGAATACTCCGATCATGCTTTTGGATCCTGGCGCTGCAAGCAAGTACTTCAGCGAGGAGCCGGAACTTCTCGAAAGTGTTCTCTACGTCGATAGAACTCCACTTATTTGTGGACAATTCGAGAATGTTCCGAGATATCGAGCCAGGATGCTCGAAGGTTTGCTTGAGTTACATGATCATTTGATCGACTAAATTTTTTCTTTTTCTTTCACCAAAAGTTCGACCTGTCGTATTTCCCTGTAGTTTAATATCGAATTTCTCTTCGAAATGATTCGTATATTTGCAATATTTTGAATATTGTTAAAAATACAAAAATTTTACAAATAATAATTTAAGTTTTCGATCTCGGATATGTCAATTCGATTGATTGAATAAAAAAGTATTAGTAATGTTAGCTGCAAATAAATTTGCAAAAGAAACTAGTACCTTATTTTATTTTTAAATTTCTTCATTAATATATTATACCCACCTTGAAATAGAATTATGAATGAATCTCGATAGAAATATCCTTTAAGTATTCTGCAAAGAAATATTTTTAAATGAGGAAGGATTATATATTCGAATATTATTTAAAATAAAAATGATATTAAAATTCGATGATGGTATAGAAACGTTCAAAAATAATAACAATCTTATCGATCGTGTGAACGGTATTACCCTAATCGGGACACGCTCGAAATAGGGCATCCGTTCTATTTTATTACAAACTCTGATGTGAATATCGCACACCGAAACGTGAGGCATAATGGGACTCTTGTAATTTCATACCTTTTATGTATATAATTATTTATATCGTCAATTATAATGAATATATAGTTATGTACAATATTGAATCTCATTCTTTAACAATAACATCAACAACATGATTAAACAACGTTCCTCATTGGTACACAAATTGTAAATGTACAGATAAAAAAGCATTAGATGAGGTTCAATGAGGCATCGAAGGTGGGCGTACACATTCGGCGCGCCTGAATCCCTTCTTCCCTTCGTACACAAACGTAATCCTTTTATAAATATATTTATATACATACATATGTATGTGCATACATTATACACATACACATATACATACACATGTCGAAATCTTTTCGATCCTATGTCCATAAAGATTTTCCAGTTTTATTTACCTCTTCGTCTTCCTCTTTATTTTTATTTTATTTTATTTTTTTTGCATTTTCGCCTTCATCTTCATCTTCATCTTCATCTTCGTCTTCTTTATCCTTTCTCTCATTTTTTTTTGTCTTTTTGTTAAATTTTTAATTTTAATTTATTTTTTTTTGTTACGTAAGCCTTCGTCACACACAAGGGTGATCCCTTTATCTAAATCACTTCAAAAACGTTACTACCCGTGCGTTATTTCGTGGCATGGAAGAATAAGAGTGCGTCAATAATAAAGTACACACAAGTATATATATATAACTTCACGATTAGAAATTATTATGTTTAATCATCCACGAGGACTTTTATCGTCGTAAATTAATTCATTTATTAATTACGCAGGCCATAGAAATCCTCATCGAATGTTCTTCACGCAAACACCGAGCAATTTTTGAAATATTATTCTCTTTCTATTTCTCTCTCTTTTTATAATTCTATTTCTTTAATTTCTTTTCTTTTTTTATATCATAATACAATTTCTTTCCATGCCATAATCAAACGCATAGGTGTCGTTTGACGTGGCGAAGGTAAAGGGATTAACGCGAGAATACAATCGCACATATACATACACACGTCATGCGCACGCACATTATATACGAATATATACACACATTATTTATATTTTTATATTCTATATATATACATATATATATATATATATATATATATATATATATATATATANATATATATATATATATATATGTATATATACTTATAATTATTATTTATACGCATATACTTATCAATATTTATACTTCGTTTATACACGTACACGGTCCACATGCACGCAACAAAATATACGCCGCGTGTAACTCAAGGCGAATTAGATTACACGTTATGTATCGATCGAGTCGGTGCATGATTTAATTATTAAGGAGAGTGCACGACGCTTTTTATTTCCTCGCGAGGAACCAGCCAGGGCCGACGCTTAGCCGCTCTTCTTGAAAATTTGTTCCTCGATCTACCATCATTGTCGACGTTTCCATCTTATTATTATTTTTTAATTTTTTAATCAAATTGTCGAGAATCTCTTTTCATTTTTGACAAAAAATAAAAAGAAAAAAAAATAAAAACAATTACATTTTAAGTATTAATAACAAGCGGAACTAACTAAAAGTAATTTAATTGAATTTATTGGGAAACATAAAAAATGAATTTTCATTAGTAGAAATAAAACGTCGACGTTAAAGGAGATCGAGAACAAATATGCTGGTAGAATTCAATCACGATTATAAAAAAAAATTCTTCTTTCTCTCTCCCGCTTTGTGCGTACGCATCCTGGATTTGAAAAAGGAACTCGACGAAAGCATAAAAAAGTCGTTTTGTTAATCGAAAAAGCGAACGAACATCGAACTGTGTGTCTCGATTTAATAAAAAATCGATCACGAACGAAGCTACTATTCTCTTCTTTTAGCTTCGTCGCGACAGGACGCAAATCGTCGACCATTCGTCGTCTACGCGAGAGACTCTACGCAAGGCTCCAACGAGTTTTCTTGGTTTGTTTTTTTTTTTTTATTTTTTCGTTTTTTTTTCTTCTTCATTTTCTTATTTTGTCGTATGTTTGTTTGTTTCTCTTCGTCGGGATGTAATAATTTTCTTATTTTTCTTTTTTTTGACTTCAAATATACCTTTTTATCGAATCTATATTTCGTACTATTTTCATTTATTATTAATCATCCTTCTTTTTCTGTTATTCAATTATTTATTTTGATCTTTCTTCTCTTATCATCTTTGTTTCTTCGAGTCTCTTAACCTTGAACAATGTCACGATACACACACGAAAGACCACCCACCAATACTTTTATACGTGACACGAATAAGTATATCCTATTATTATTCGCGTATTACGTGCGACGGGACGAGAATCGAAATCTGGTTTCCGTTAAATAAGATTTGCGTTTTATGAAATGCTTTAGGTACTTTTTTTCATTTTATTTCTTTATCTTCTTTTTTGGAAAAAGAAAGACTTTTTTAAACATTCAAATATATTATATTTAAATTTTATATGTTCTTCAATTAATTAACTAATTTATTATAATATTTAAAGTAGCAATGCAACGATAAATTTCTTACAAAAGTAAGAACAAGATACAGGAAGCAAGATATTTTCAAGTGACTTTTCATTCTTTATCCTTTAGTTAATAACGTTTTAATTTAATACAAAGAAACAATTCAGTCTCTCTTTTATATTTAAAGTCAATTCATAAATAAGTCAAGAGTTAATTATAATGGATTGACATTTATTTATGAATAAACCATATTTTTAATAAGAACGTTTAATTTGCAATGCATTCAATCATAGATAAGTACTATTTTATCGTAATCAATTTAACATTTATAACCAACGCTTATATATATTTATGAATCAACTCAAGATATATATACATATTTTTATAAACGACGAGGCACTTCCTTTCGTACTCGTCCGTTTTGAATTTTCACATTTTTCTCATTAAAAATCATAATATGTGACAATGTTCTTCCCATTTTCCCAAAATCCCATAATCATCAACAACCTATCATTGTCATTCAAGAATAACGAAGTCTTGATTTTCGAAATAACGAAAAAGAAGGACCTACGATGTTTATTTTCTTCCATTTTTATCAATTTTTATCTTGTCCTGTCGCGCGTATTAAAGGATCTTTCCGGATAAATTAAAAGAGGATCCTTCAAGAAGAAAGAGATAGACAGAAAAGCAGACAGACGGACAGACAAACAGACAGACAGACAGACAACAGACAGACAAACAGACAGACAAACGTACATATGTACAGATTGACAGACAGAGATGACACACACAATTTTGTTGCAAAAATTTTCTAACGCGATCATTTGTGTCTTCTTATTTTCACTTTAACGTGCCAGGTGCCCATCGATCCTATGCACATTTCTTATGTATGTATATGTATGTACATCCTATTATTTCTTCTTCTTTTTTTTTCGTTTTTTTTTGTTTTTATAATTATCATAATCATCAATCGTTATCGTCATTATCGTTATCAATCGCAATCATAATCATTAATGTTTAAACTTCTTCACAAGCTCCGAGAGACGTAAACCCTTTTTTTTATAGCTTCGCAATCGACTTGTACACACAGAAACGTTTATGTACAACGAATTTAAAATACGAACTGCAATGGCAGTGAACAGTGCAGGTGAATAGGTACTCCAAACAGCAAGTTAATTAGCGGCATAGCGCGACAGCAGCAGCGGCAGCAGCGGCGGCGGCGGTAACGGCGGCGATTATGATTTTTTTATTTTTTTTTTATTATTTTTGTTTTGTTTTTTTTTCTTTTTTTTTTTATATATACGGTTCATTCCTCCCTTCTTTATTTATCTCTGTATATATTTGTTTTTTTTTTCTTTTTATTCGTAATCACATTATTACAAACACACACACGAGACACGACGGACACGTCTATATCAATATCTACCTCGTTCAGCAGTTTGTTGTCTCTTCTTCAGCTTTTATCTTTTTTTTTTTTTGTTATTTTGTTGTTTATTACATACTCCGTTTCTTCTTCTTCATCATCATCATCATCATCATCATCATCATCTCCTCTTATCTTCTTCGTTCTTTATTTTTACGACTCGTATAAGTTTTTTGTTGTTGTAATTAATAGTTTTTTTTTTTTATTTTTTTTTTTTAAGTGGTTTCTTTTCTTTTTTATCGCTCTCTGTGCGCTAGGCTAATTAACGCGCACGTTCTATTTGTTGTTTCTTAATTGGCAAGAAAATCGAGGGTATAAAGTAGATGAATATAGTAATAATAATAATTTTGAAAAAAAAAGAAAAAATAATAAAGAATAATTTTCACTAGCTCGTGAATGAAAATAAACAATTTATTTTATTTTTATTCTCTTCTCCTTTGTCATATTTCGATTTTCATTAGCTTTTACCCTCGTTTTTCAAGCCACGTGGACCTACTCACGCACACACATACATGCATACACGACGCGGACACGAAAAAGAAATACGATTAGTCGCTTTAGTCGTTATCCGGCTTCACGACAGACAGACGTGTTGAGCCTTTTTTTTTACTTTTACTTCTTCGTCTATGTGTGTGTATGTTTACGTGCATCTTACACGTACCATATACGCACTATCGAGGATCGAAAGAATGTATTAATGAATGAAAGAACGAACGACGAACTTACAAATGAATGCATGATTGAAAAAATGATTGGATGAATGGATGGATGAAAGAATGAATGAATAAATGAATGAATTACAAAGATAGAGAGAGAGAGAAAGAGAGAATGAGAAAGAGAGTACAATACCTGTGCACAAGTTTATCCGTTATATGTAGGTATGTATATTTTTATCCTTCATCATATGTGTATATATATATGTACGTCCATATGTTTTTTCTTTTTTTTACTTTTGTTTTATACACAGGTGAGTTTCACAAAAATATATAAAAGAGAGAGCGCTATGTGTACATATATATATATATAATGCATATAATACCTATATATAATCGATTTACTTCACGTTGCTTGGAAAAAGTGTAATTCTTATGTGTGTACATTTGTTTTATCTCTGTATGATGTGTGCGCGCACGTACGTAACGTGTGATTGACTTCGTTCAAATCAATTTTCTCTCCTTTTTTATTTCTTTTCATTAAACTTATTTAAACATTTCCATTAGATTTACAATCGATCATATCTTAATTTAACACGTACACGTTATACGTACACGCATATTTTTGTGTATGAGTGTGTGTACGTGAGTACGTGTGTGTCAAAATGATTTTTCTCATTTTTTAACTCGATAACTTAATCTCATTTACTTTCCTATGTTCCCTTTTTCTCTTACACTCGTACCATTGTAAAAGATTTTTTTCCTTCCCATTCGCTTATCTTTACGTCTTTCTTTATAAAGTGTTTTTATTTAGGCTTTGGGACGTTCACGGATGAACAACACCCTCGTATCTTTTTATACGTACATATATACAAAAAAAAAATTGAAAATATTTTATCAGGTAGAAAAAGAGAAAGAGTGGTGGATAGAGTGAAAGAGAAATAGAGAGAAATAGAGAGTGAGAGAGAAAGAGAAAAAGAAAATTGAACATGAAAATTACGAAGAGATAAGAAGAAGACGACAGTGAAAATGTAGATCAAAACAGCTCGAAAATGGAAATGTGAGTGACTTTGAACAATTTTCGTATTATTTGTTGTAATTTTTTTTTTTTTCGAGGTATGCAAGAAAACGTACATATATGCACGTATATGTACCCATACTTGCATCTGTGTATAATATAATGTATCTGTATCTGTATATATATGTATATGTATATTTATGCACACACACACACATACACACGCACAAAACGTTCCTTTATCATACAATGATAACTTTCAAATGAAACGAATGGGAGTACAGATCGGGGTTCTTTTTCTTTCTTTTTCATTTCTTTTTTTATACAAGAAAAGATAACACAACGCTCATACACACACACACACACACACATACACAAACGACGCTTACGGCTTTTAAAATCTTTCGACGACGTTCGATGTCGCCGTTTAAGATGAAGGATGGGGTTAGGAAAAGGGGGTGAGGTTTCGGGGCTACTCCTCGACGTCCCAAAGTTTTGCGATCGTGATAGTCATCGTAGAGAGAACCGGTAAGCTACACGATACGTACGTACGTACTTACAAAAAATTATTTCAAAAAACACAGATATACGCTCCCCTTCTTTTTTTCCCCTTCTTATTTCTTCTTCTTCTTCTTTGTTATTATTATTAATTATTATTATTATTACTATTGTTATTATTATTATTATTAATATTATTATTAATATTAATATTATTAATATTATCATTATTATTATTATTAATATTATTATTATAATAATTATTATTATTATTACAATTATTATTATTATTTTTTTGTTATTTTTATTTTGTTCTTTATCAATTATCGCTTTTTCTTCTTCTTATTTTTCTTCTTTTTTCTTATTTTTATCTTCATGTTCTCATCTTCTTATCTTCATTTGCACCGATACGGTGTGCGTGTGCGTGCGTATGTGTAAAACCTGTACAAAGTGCTCGAGATTGAAAATTTGTATTGTTCCTTTCGTATTTGGTTGTGTAAAGCAAGACACACGAGGTAAAGGTTACAACATTTTTTGTTTATTATTTTTTTATGTTTTGTTTTTAGGTGTATGTAGTAGTAGAGTTCCGGACACATTACGAAGATTCTCTTCTTTTTACGCGCACTCATTAGCTGTGTCTTCTTGGTACTCAGCCATTTTGGTACTCTCTCCCATTCTTTCTTTTCCTCCAGTTATTTTTGTCTTTTTTTTTCATGTTTGTAACATTTTTGTCATATTTTATCTTTGTCACCTATTTTCATCCTTTTTCCCTTCTCATTCCTTCATCCCCTCCATTCATTTCGTTTCCATTTTCTTTTGGCCTCTTCTTCGATGCACTTTCTATCGATTTAAATCATTTGTCTTTTTGTTTTTATAATAATACCTGTTTTTTTTTGTTTTTTTTTATTGTTTTTATTCTTTTTTTTTTTTTTAATAATATTTTCGCCTCTTTTACTTATTTATTCTATTTGTCTTTTGTTCACGTCTCCACTTCTTCTTGCATTTGCAATTTCTCTTTTTTACATCAAGGTACGAAAAGAGTTAGGTTTAGAGACGAGAGAAAGAGAAGGAGAGAGAGAGAGAGAGAGAGAGAGAGAGAAAAAAAGTGAGTAAAGAGTAGAAAAAAAGTGAGGGTGAGAAAAAGAAAGAGATGATGCGAACGTGGGACAATTAAATTCCATTTAATTAATCTCGACGAATTGCTTTTGAACATTTCTTCGTCTTTCCACCATTCTTTTTCTTATTTCTTCTCACTTTTTTCATTTTCCTCTTCAAGACTTTTTTTTCTTATTTTACAAACGAAACACGACTATTTTTTTTCTCTCTCACTCTGTCTCCATTTCTTATCTCTCGTCTCTTTTTAAATTCTACGATAAATTATTAGATAATCTTCGAATGAATCACACGGAGGCGTTGATTTCTTATCCGCTCTTGCGTTGTTTTGTTTTTTATCCTTTTGTTTGTAATAATTTGTTTTCTTCCTCTTCTTTGTTCTATTTTTTTTCTTTTTATGTTTAATCACTGCAAATTATCAAACAGTAACGTTTGGCTAACGGAAAAGGCTCCGCGAGTTGGTGAAACGTCGATCCTCCCACCTGTTTTTTATTTTGTACCTTCTCCATTATCACGTTGTTTTGTTCTTGTTGTTGTTGTTTGTTTGCTTGCTTCCTTGCCATGATTGCACCTTAATTTTATTATACATATACGCTCCTCTCTCGAGCTTTTTTAATTATTGTATAGGGGCAATGGGAGGGGGTGACTCGATCACACATTTTGTCTCTGCGATAAGCCGATCAGTCCTTTGCGTTATTATTATTATTTTTTTTTTTTCTTAAGTAGTTGTCCTTTCTGCGAATAAGACAACTTCTTGATTCTTGAGAGCACCACGTGTAGCTACCCTCGGACCATGTTTCACCATGCCACTTCCAACATTCCTCTCGATTCTTCTTTTTTTTTTATTTTTCTTCTTCCCTTCATCTTTTTATTTCATTTTCCTATCATCCCACTAGTTTAGACTCCTCCACCATTTTTCCATCCACTCGATCCTTTCTCCTTCGTAAATATTACAAACTCTCGTTCGTTCTTTTTTCGTCTTCACGTTCACGCGATTGGGTGTACACAAAATTTGTTATTGTCGAGAATAAAGGATTACTTGGAAATTTTGTGAAGGAAATACAATTGTGATAAAATAAAAAAGTAAGAAAAAAAAAAGAGAGAAAGAAAGTGAAAGAGAGAGAGAATAATAAAAAGAGAGAAATATGAAATTCGATACATAGATTGGTCGTAAATAATAAAACAAATAAACAGAAATAAAAGGAAGGATTCGCGTGGCTGGCTGATAATCCTGATAACGACGTTGTTGACTTGCACAGGAAGAACGGACGTCTTCGTATAATTTGTTTTTCTTATTTGCTCGTTTGTATTTTTTTTCAATGGACGGGGCTCGCATAGGCTCGATGATGGACGCGTGATTATTTCATCTGCTTTCTCGAACGACGAAGAAGACCGGATGAGTTCAGGAATGATGGACAGCATGATGACCTTAGACGCGTGAATTAGATGTAGGAATAAGGTCCGTCGGTGAGGGCGCTACACAGCAACAGTCAGGAGGCGTCATCTTTGCCACGGGCACCTCTGCTCGGTCTGTATTCTAGACCTGGATCGAACTGCATCAGCACGAAAACCTGAAAAGTTTTTATTTAATTCAATTACTTACTTAATTATATCTCATCATTTAAACCCAATATTACAAATGATTATTTCAATAATTGGATAGATGTTTCAAAGAAGGGCTTACGGGCAAACTTAACAAAAGTGTCAGCAAATATTACGATAAGTGAAATCATTGTTAATGCATCATAGGCCTTTCCTTTAGACATCCATTCAATTATTAAAAAGATACACATAAATATGAGAAAGATTTAGAATACGTTCCGTGACGTATGGGTAGCATGAGTCCTACTTTAAATTTTATGTTCAAGATACTCGAAATTATTTTTATTTATTTATTAAAAAATTCTTTAACAAACTTTATAAATTATTATTTAATGAATTATGTTGAAAATATACCTGATCTGTAGGTAAGAGTGTGAAATCATCCGGTGGATTTGTAATGACGTATCTTTTCGACGAAGCATCGCACGACGAACTTGTATCTCGAAACCTACAAGATATGTTAATTTGTAAATTTCACTGTTCTTGTACTCCTATATTCCTATTTCATACACACATAAACACGCACTCACACGTAAGCTAAGCTAAACACAATGAACTTCACGAAATGTTTTATCAAATATTTTGTATTATATGCTACGACAAATTTATTAAAACAAATTGTTAATTAAATTTACGTTAAATTGATAAAAATCTATTTACTTGTAAAAGTTAGTAAATCTATCTTATAAATCGAATTGAGGTAAATTGAAATAAAATGATAGAATTAAAAATTAAAATAAGCTAACTATTCTAAGTTAATTTGTTATTAGCTAAGAATCTTTTTGGGATTAGATTAAAGCGTGTATATTTAATAAGCTAGAAAGCTTAATTTGTTAAGCGTATGTTAATAAATCATATTTCGAAGAAATAAAATCGAAATCTTGAAGAAAGAAGTAATAGAAATCATTAAAAAAGAAAAAAAAGAAAAGAAATATAATCGAACTAAAACTAAAACTAAAACTAAAACTAAAATAAGGAATAAACAACTAAACTAACAAAGCTGTTTCGGTTATTTTGCGACATTAAACTAAACGCTAAACAAATAGATGACAATAAAAAATGATAGGTATTTTTTGGATGAAAAAACTCACGATCATCGTTTTTTTTTTCTCGTGACGTAAAAACGGAAAATACAAAACTGTGCGACAGAAAATGAAAGAATCACGGAAGTAATTATTACAAGAATGATATACGATAAAAATGTCATAGACTTTGGTAGCGATATATAATAATATATATGTATATATATAATATGGCAGCAATCAGAAAGATCATTGTAAGCCAGAATGCATAGATTATCCAATAAATACCATCGAGAGAGGGAAAAAATTCCGGTACCTGTACCTGTACAGACCAATGCACAGCATTCCATACGATTTTAATGCTGCGACAAAGAGGTCACCGTACTTGCCTCCTTCGCCGTACTGAGCTAATGGCCCATCGTACAATGCGATTTGACCGACTCTACATCGATCTCTATTGGCTAAACTGTCCGCGGTGCTATAAAGTCAAATTCAACAAATATTATCATTAGTATTATCTATAAATTATTGCGCAATTTGAATCAAATTTGATTGGATATAATAATATAATGATACAAGAATAAGATTCTGATTCATACGTAGATGTTGTTGATCATAAATAATTGTTCACCTGTAACCCCCTCTCAAACCGGCACCTTCTGCCAAAATTAATTCCAATTCGGGCGTTGCTCCACCGGTTATCAAAGAACGTATCAGAGTAAGCGCGTTTTGATTGAAGTACGTCTATAATTATATTTACAAAAGAATGTTATTTGAAATAATATTTAGGATTATTAGTATTGATTAAAATGATTCAATTTATTGATTTACCGTCGACATGAGCGAATCCAATACGCTCACAGCGAAAGCGGTACCGCAAGCGAACGGTTGTGTGAGGTAGAGTTCCGTGTCTGGGTCATCGTCATCATCCTGATCAAGGAACTGTACGTTGCTGTCGTTTACGAGTTCTATAAATATCAGATGTTTCGTTATATTACTGTAAGTGATAATAATTTAATTCGATGGTTTAGAATTTATACTTTTTCTTTTTTTATTTTGAGTTCTGGCATACTGAAAAGATGTCAATTATTTTATAATTTAATTGTAATTATTTTATTATTACTTGTATGCATTCATACCTGTGATCATTGGCACGTTTGCCCCGTAAACGGATCCTCGTCGCTGTAGAACAATCGGGCTGCCAACTGTGGTCAAATTACCTTGCTCATTATTTGCTGGAATTTTCACTCATGGTTTAATGATATCATTGAAAACATACAAACAAGAATATACAAACGAGAAACTTGTGTTCAAGTATACACGTATAAATATCGTATATTATCGTAATTAACACGTCGTCACGACCTAAATCAATTTGATAAAGAATTTTCTAAAATAAAACATTCGATGAGTATCGATGTAGCTCAACGTGTTAACGAGATAATGTCTAAAGCGTAGGTAGAATTCTAAGCTCGAACAGCTTACCTTGACTTAACACGCCGATCGTATCGTCGAACGTCATGGCCTTTATATTAAGGGATGCGAGGATGGCTTCCTTGTCGGCGAGGGTGGGGTCATCGTTGCTAGGCACTTTTGCCGACAGGATGCAACACATGTCGCATAGATTCACGTTTACTGCGCGCAAATCAGCTCTGCTCAACGGTGAACCCTACAAATCAAAGTATTATCAGTACCTAATTATTATTATAATATTCATAGAATGGATATTTAATACAAGATGATCCAAATAATCGCATAATCAAATTGAAAAAGATGATACATTTTTTAAAACAATACAGTAACTGGATATATTTATATGTTGAATTGAAAAAGAAAATATTGTAATTACTGATTTTTTGTATTGCTTTTTCTTTTTATGCACGACGTGCATTTTTGAATCAATTAAATCTACGTAGCATCGGAATCTCATTAGCTATTCAAATTTTTCTTTATATCGACACTTACATTCAACACCGATATTTTTGGTAGGTTCTGTAACATTTTCCATTCGCGGCGGATGTAGTCCACAGACCCAACTATCACTACGTGTTTAAGCTCGTGGTAATGGAAATTGGAAGCTCGTAATGGCATAACAAGGTTTCTCAACCCGATAAGAGGCGAGTCGGGATCGGCAAACAGGCAGACAACGACGTGTCCATTTAGAACTGTCATAGCCGCCTGATTACGATCTAATATGCAGTCTTCGAGGTTACGGGATGGACTCCAATGGAACATGCCCGTTGAGTCGTATTTCATTTCGGTCTTCTCAAAGTCGAAATCTTTTGCCTGATCGTCGGCGATACCAACTTGAAGACCACCGTTGTTGTTTACGTTAGTACCACCCGAGGCTCTACTCGTTGGCCTGAAAAATTAAAACAAACAAAAAACAACCAGAATTATAACAAGTTGATATCAATTTTGTTGTTTTTTAATCAATATTGTTTCCTTTTGTTTTTATTAATTAATTTTATCTATAGTATCTCGTACATAAGTTTTTTCACTTCGTAGGCAAGATGGTAGCCAGCGTACGCGGATTCTTCTTGTGATCTGAAAATTAATAAAACGATATTATTATTATTATTAAAGATAAAAAAGATGTGTCTTTTCTTTTTTATAAAAAAAAGAGACTTTAATGTAAGTAAATACCTCTGATTATAAGGCTGATTGGGACTCGACAAACTATCATTCGTAGCTCGATTGACATTCGGTTTCACTTTGTTCACTTGCTTCGTCGAATTCATCATAGTCATTCCGACAGAATTTCGATGATTCCTCATAGCTACAATAGATAAAACGTTAAGCATTTATGTTAAATACATATATATATATATATCTAAACGATCAAAATTGAGAATCGTATTCCATGTATCTGAAATTGATCACATATTTCAAGAAAGACAAAGAGACATGGAGAGAGAGAGTTTGATATAATTAAAACAAAAATGAACACTCACCGTTAGGATCTTCTCGTTCACGATTAATCTCACCTAAAATATATAAAATACTATTAATTATTTTCACGATCAATGATCTAAGATTGAACGATGATTGGCCGCATTAATGCCGGTGTGACGTATAAATAAATATAACATAATTTTTATATTCGCAAAATTTATAATTTTATTTCTATTTCGTTTTTTTTTTATGTGTGTGTACATTTTTATTTATTTTTACAAATCCCCAGCATTAATGAGCCATTATAATTACACGATTATCACATTGTTCGCGATCTAACACCCCTCCCGTTTTTATTGCGCATATTACTTTCATGGATAAAAATCCTACAGAGCCCCATGCTTACAGGCGCGCATACCTCAGCCTAGAGACATGTAATTTATAATATATATATAATATACATATATAGTTGTTAGAACGTGCCAGAAAAACCAACAAAAATAAATAGTACGGCCAATGCTCGAAGCCTGACATTTAAGTATTTCAATATTTACGAAGCAGCGTTGTAATTACACGTACGTCTTCTTCTAATTTATTTATTTTATTTATTTATTTATTTTATTCTTCTTTTTTAAAGCTTTTTACAAATAATTTCAACATTATATTTTTTACGAGAAGACGCACGTTTCTCTATCGCAGCGAGCGATTAATAAAGTTAGACGTGTATGCACGTCCTTTCAATATAAAAACATCGAATGTTTAATAATTTCGAGCGTATTGCGATAAGAATAAAAGAAGCGCACATACATGAAATATATGCGAATATATAATAACAATACTAAATAAATAAATAAATAAATAATAATAATGATAATAATAATAATAATAATAATAATAATATACGTAAGTTTATAGTATGTATGTATAAGTAAGTAAATCTTTAATAATTTTAAACAAATGCATTCGTCGATAGCTTAAAGTGGAAATAATGAAGAAGTAATACACGACGAGTCTACGACACGAAGCGCTTCCATGCATTAAAAATATTACAAAAGAAATTTAAAAAAAAAGGGAATAAAACAAAAAATTAAAACAAACAAAAAAAACTTAAGATAGAAATAAAAAATTCCTAACTAAAATCTTGTATACTCCAGTGTTAGTCGGTTCGTGTATCGATGGAGATTGATTTCACCAGTAATGAATATATTCTGTTGTTTATTTGAAAAAGTCTCGGATAATATGAGTAACAAAAATATAAAAAAAAATATTCAAAAAAAAAAAAAATTAAGAATATCATACTTTAAGGAAGCTCTTAAGCACAATTACGTAACGTTGTACGTTCGATTGAAGATATTTGATTTTGCAAGAAGCCGCACACATTATTGTTACGATATCGTCAAATTAATTATTATTTGTAGGCAGAGCAATGAAAAATAACGAAAAAGCGATATTCTCGTATACGTTTCTTATGTTAATTAATTATTTTTTTTTTCTTTTCGGAGAAAGAGAAAATTTAGTTAGTTAGGTAGATAAAGACAGATAGAAAGAGATAGATAGAAAGAGAGAAAAAGAGAGAGAAAGAAATAGACATTTTTTTATTCGACATCATGCTTCTCCGTTATTAATTATTTAAATGTAATATTCTTTTTTGTTATCGCGCTCGTTGACGTTCGGAAAGGCAGTTTGCGAGACTGTAGCATGGATTTGATTGAGGTGTAACTGTACCTCTCAGGTGAACCATCTTGGGCAGTTCTGGCGGAGTGAATGTGGGGGGAGGATGGTGGTCGTCTGCAACAAACCACTACACATGTTAGCTACGCTAACTAATTAACTAACGCCTAAACTCGCTACTCTAGAGAACTAATCGCTAAATACATTGGTAACTATGCTTGCAAACTTTCTTCCATTTCGCTCGAAAACTCACCCTTCGTACCATTTAATTGAAAATACATATATACATACATACAATTGCATATATATATATATATATATATATGGTTATACTGATTTCAAATCGATTAAAATGTTATTTTATTTGATACGACATTTAAGTGAGTTTTCAATCGAAGTTGCTACTAATTTCTACGTCACTTTTAGTACTATTTCTACTACTATTACTACTACTACTATTACTTTATTACTATTATTAATTTCTGTGCTAATATATATTATTTTACGAACACGAACATACATAAATATAGGTAATCATAACTTAGGTTAACTACATTGCCAAAAACAGTTCGCATGAACAAGGACGAACAAGAAAAATTCATATCATTGGTTTCTTTTCGTAATTGCAAATACAAAGGTTCTATTGTATTAATTATGCAAAGATTTGTGAAGATGCATAGTGGAATTAATTAACGAAAAAGAGAGAGAGAGAGAGAGAGAGAGAGACAGACAGGCGGATGGATAGATTGATAGACAGATAGATAGATAGACAGATAGATAGGCAAAGGGAAAGTTATAAAAAAAATAGGGACGGAAAGAGAGAAGAAAATTAGACAGATTGAAATCGTCCATGTTATACCAACATATTTCTTAAATACGCTCACAAGCTGTGCACTGTGCATTTTGATACTTATCGCTTCTATCATGCATTGGCTGGCAAGCTGTAATACCGTCAATTATATTTGCATTTATGCTCGCATGCGAAATAAAATTTCACTTTTCTAATAGTTGACAACGAAGATGTTCCACGATTAATTTGAATTTTTATTATTATTTGATTTTTATTTTCATTATTTCAAACTTTCTTTTCGTTTCTTCTGATTAATTTTTTTAATGTTTTTTTTTTTTTTAATATTTTTTTTTCTCATATAAAATGATCGAGAAAAATAGTACAAAAAAAAAACAAGTGTTTTCGTGACTATTACTTTATTTATTTATGTTTTTATTTAATTAATTAATACCTTCGACGAGCATGCATCGAAGGATTATGTTGATTTTTTTTTTAACACATTTTATTAGTTTATTTTTTAAAATCTTTTTCTTGGTTTTTATTACATTTTTTTTTCTTTTTCCTCCTCTTCCACTTTCATCTTCTCCTCTTCCTTGTCATCACAGTGCACAAGTTCGCGTTATTAAGTGCAAGACCTTTTTTTATGCACCCAAGGAAGGAATTGACGTGCAGAAAAGTAGACATTCGAGCAAAAGCTCTGTGTGTATGTTAAAGAAACAGAGAGAATAAAAAGAGAGAGAGAGAGAGAAAGAAGGGGGAGGCAAGATGGGGGTTGATAAAATCTTTGAAAAGAGTGCTTGAAAAGTATACGCACACACACACATGAAGAGAGAGAAAGAGTGAGATAAAGAGAGAGAAAAAGAAAGATAGATAGACAGACAGACAGAGAGAGAAAGAGAAAAAGAGGTATTTGGAAGGACGGACAGACGGACAGAGAGACAGTTTGTATCGTGTGAGAAGCGGAATCAAAGGAAAAAAAGAAGTGTCGTTTTAGCCGTCGGGGGTTGGTTACTCTGCGAAACTCTCGTCGTCGAAGTCGAGTGACGAATTATAATTATTGTCTCTTCTTTTTCTTTATTTTTTTTTTTTCCATTTTTATTTCTTTTTCTTCTTTTTTCTTTTTGTTTTGTTTTGATTTTCTCAACTTGCTCGTTAATTCTTCGTTATTTTTCTTCATGTTAATTTTCCATTTCTTTTTTTTTTTTTTTTTTTTTTTTTTTTCCATAATCGTTCCTACGTATGTAGGACTACGTTTGTTGAGTTATTGGTAATATTTTTTGATATTAGCGGTGTGCCAAGTATTGCGCGCGNAAGTCGAGTGACGAATTATAATTATTGTCTCTTCTTTTTCTTTATTTTTTTTTTTTCCATTTTTATTTCTTTTTCTTCTTTTTTCTTTTTGTTTTTTTTTTTTTTTTTTAATTTATGTAAGTACGTGTATATTTATTTCTTGGTCGTAATTTTATTTTATTTTATTTTTTTTTTGTTATTTCTTTTTTCCATAATCGTTCCTACGTATGTAGGACTACGTTTGTTGAGTTATTGGTAATATTTTTTGATATTAGCGGTGTGCCAAGTATTGCGCGCGTGAAAGTTCCAAATCGTACACGTTTATAATATTCAAATGATATTTCCTAATGTATTTTATTTGTTTGTTATTATTCTTTGAAATTAAATATTTTATTTAAATTGTAATTTGGAAATGTTATATTTGTTTAATGATTTTATTTATGACGATAAGATATTTTCTAATAAACGTGAGAAACGTGGAACTTAATTTAGATTTAGCAATATGATAACAGCATTGCTCAATGTTATTTCGTGATTAGCCTTGTTTTAGCCTACTTCTCTAAATCAATTGTGCTGCGTTAGTTATATCGTAATCTTTCTCATTGTACACTGGCACGATCGAGTTCTGTGATTATGTTATATATATTTATGATATCTATATATGTGTATGGATAAATATATATATATATATATATATATATATATATATGTATATATAAGTATGAATATATAAAGTGAAATCATAGAAGTATTCGTACCCGCTTTCACTGTCAATTTGAAATAATTGATATTTGCTTGTAATGCAAAGATTCAAAATATTTATACACAAAAATTCTATTTTACGATTATTTAACTTTTAAATTGATATAAATTTTATTATAGGGAATATTTTATTATTATAAAAATATAATTTTATTTAAATGAATTTAAATTGATCTAACAAGAGTATTTCCATCTGCATAAAATGTAATAAAAGTACAATAATTATTTTTGTAAGTAGTATGCTTGGTTCAGATGATTGAGCTAATTTTCTTATCAGTAATATACAATTTTATTTATTTTATAATCAAATGCTTTTATTACAATAAAATTTCATATGAATTAAAAAGTTTCGTAATTTTAATATAAAGTTTATGTGTATATACAAATTTTGAAATATTTCATTACAAGAAAATATTGATTGTTTTCAGTTGACAGATTTAGTACGAATACTCCCATGTGGCTCACTATATATTTAAATATTAAATATACTCCCGCTGAGACAATTTGACTTACTTGGGTACGAGTAGTCTTCACCTATGCGGGTAGATTGGAGGACGAGAAGAGAGTTTTCGAACAGATACAGATGCGAAGAGTTAGTTAGATTAATGATCACTATTTTCTTTTTACATATTCTTATTATTGTTTTCTAGTATAGAGTTATTATTTGTGATTGTGTTACTTGTAAAAATATGCATGTGTATTTATGTATGTATTACGTTTTCATTTAATGATGATGATCATGAGAGTACAAAGTTCGTAAAATCAAATCAAAACAACATAAATGATTAATTACTATATTATATTAAATAAAGATACAAATTTTGAAATATTTTTGTTTTTGTTTTGTTTTGAACGATTTTACGAACGTTTTTATATTAAATGCTAACAGGTGAGGTGGACTCCTACAAGGGAATGCATATTGTGAAAACGATGGATGGTACACGTATGAATAATACGTGTATGTATGAGTCCGTTTCTGCGAGTACTTTGTGTGATCAGACGTGCAGATAGATCACGTATGTTTACACACCTAGTACAAGGGAACACTCGTATCGGATATATCCTAGGTATGTATTCAATGTAAAACACGTATTTCCCTGCTTTCGAATGGATTTAACACGACCCTGACAATGAGATAAGAAAGCTTTACTTTCAAATTTTTCTAGCGTTTTTATCCCCTGTCCCCCTTCACTTCCTTTTGTATCTTTTCATATTTATTTGTAATATGTCCTTTCTTTTTATTTAAAATTGTCGAATCCTGTTATTTTTGGTTTGGTTCCTTTCCCTTTCAAACATTAAAGTTGTCGGTGATATCCAATTTTTTATTCTTTTTTTTTTGTTTCATTTTCTTGCGAATATTATAATTTTTGATTGTATACCAATGTTAAGGAGTTTTTAAAGACTAATCGATTATGGTTGATTATGATAAATTTGTAATATTATATTTATACTCTTACAGAACTCTCGTGTGAAAAATATCGCGTAAAACATCTTCAAACTAACTGTACATTTCTATAGATTCGTTTAAAAAGATATTCCATTGAGTATAAATAATTATATATGTACACCAAAGTTTAGGATAATAGACAATTCCAAAAGATTACTACGTGACTATGATAAGTATTATAATATGTTATAGAGTATAGTATAGTATATTATATTATATAATGCAGCGAATATATATATAGAGAGAGAATTTAACACACATGTAAAAACACAATCAATGTTAACACATACGACAAAGATCTAAAAGTGAATGAAAAGAAAAAAAACAATAAAGAAATAATTTTTTTTTCTTTTTCATTTGAAGAGCGTTCTGTAAAATGTCGAAAGCAATTCACGTACAATTCAATCTCGAGTTCTTTTAAGAGAGTTAATGATTATATTGATTAATTAAAAACGATTAAATGCTAAAAGAAATAATTAAAAGAAAAAAATAATAAATAAAAGAAAATAATTACTTTGGGACTTTGTTAACGGTCGTTGTCATTGTTTTAAGGAATAAGAGAGAAAAAGATTGATTAAGAGATAAATAGATGATAGATAACTAGATTTAGACAAAGATAAAAAGATAGATATACAAAAGAACTAACAAAAAGTAGATACGAATAAACAACTAACTGGTCTAAATATATATTTATAGATATATAATATATGTTCTAAACACACGTCGAATAATAATAATAATAATAATAATAATAATAATAATANGAATAATAATAATAATAATAATAATAATAATAATAATAATAATAATAATAATAATAATAATAAT